CTAGGTCTGTGAAGGAATAGTACACAGAACCATTCAAGGGTTCAAATTAGTGAAACTATTTATCTCCAAATTATCGTGAATGGTCTAATTATCTCCATAATCAATGAAAAAAATGAACTAGAGAAGCAATTTTGGTAAACCATCCTTAACATGGAAGCATTTTCAAAGCGAAAAATAGTGAAGAAGGTTCAACGAATGAGAATGAAATTTCAGAATAATTTACTATAAATAAATTTGAAGATTATGTCTCGTGAAACATACCCATTAATTTTCTATAATTACATTCGTAAATTGCGTGAAACATTCTACACCCCACACGACAACTCTCTGATATACGTTTTCGAAAACATACCCATTTAGAGCGTTAACAGACGTAACAAACCAAATTTCATCGGTAACCACGAAGCTGTAATTCGACATCTCTAGAGAGATTGCTCCAAAATTTCACGGAGTTCGTGTCACGAGCAACGTTCCCAGCGTCGAATGTCTCTTAATAGCCGTTTAGACGTAAGCTCGTCTAGAAGCCTGTACACAGACGCACCTTGTATTTAAAGATACTTTGACGCACATGGTTCCGTATCTTTTAAACGCGTCGCCAGTGGGCGGAGAACGCTAAGTGTTCGGTCGGACGTAAACGCTTTCGGGCACCTAGAGGTCTCCGTGCATTAACGGCCTCGTCTTTCGACGACACGAATTTCTCCGTTCACCGAACCGTAGACATACTGTTGTCGCACAATACACGGACTGTTCGTTGGATCCCCGAAAAGATAAAACAACCTTTTGAACGAGCGTTTATCACGCTGCTCCCGGATGATTCTTGCCACCGAGAAATCATTCGAACCGTATGTATGCACACGTCTGGTTTGCGCAGAGTACACTGCTCGAACCATGTGTCTCGTTCTTTGCTGGATTACAAGAAAGAAAAAATTGAAGGAGAAGCCCTCGTAAATTCCTGACAATCACGAAGCCACCGTGGAGTATCTTGTCGATGATAGAACGCGGTTTCAACGACCTTAATCGCGAACAGTGGAAAAACAACGATTATTCCCGAGATGGGAGGCCGCTTGAATCCTCCTACTCCAATATGTTCACTGTTGATGCTCCGATTAACTTTCTCGGAAAGCACTTTTCGCCGATTTGTCGAGAAATTCGTACATGGAAACCTTCAGTCCTATTTTTAATCAAAGACCAACGATTGGCTCCACTGGAAACTTTCCTGTGTCTGCGTGCATCCAGACATATATGCCTGGTTTTAGCCTATATCATCCTCTAGCAGGGAAAAGTGGGACAATTCTCTCCAGTTACGATGATACGCGCACCGCTTACTCTGCACAAAGGATAAACTATTCATGAAATCAACTGTAAACTCGAAAACAATGGGAGCCCGTTATTTAAAGGAATCGCAGACCAAGAAAAATTGGGTCAGCCTGCTGGTATAACGAGTGTGCACTCAACATACTGATCTATTTAGGGGGAACGATGAACGATTTAACGAGTCAATAGCACAGAAGTTTAAAGCCCATTAAACGCGATTATAGAGGACGCTCCGAAACCTGTGGTCCACGTCAAGGACAGTCGATTTGTTCCGAAAAGATAAACTAAACTGGCTGAATATTTTGTGATTCTAGTGCCAGGTACACGCCGCACCTTCCAGTAACTAATAACCAGAAGAAAACGATATGGACAAAAGATACTTCAAGGAAGTGCAACTTTCTATGACTGTGCTTTTCCTTCCTGGCAAACATGCAACCATTTAACACAATTGTGGTTCAAAAAATACAACTAATTATACAGGGTGTTCCATTTAAATCGATCCACTCGAATATCTTCGAAACTGTTGACTAAATTAAAAAATAGTTCAGACAAAAGTTTAATGGTATCAGGGGGCACATTTTCTGATGTCATATGAAGGTCAACTTTGTTTTTTAAATGGAATCGCATATTTTTGAATGCATTAATTCGTCATAAGTGACTTAGTACTTTATGTAGGGAATAACGAGTAGCATCAAGTAGTGTATTAAAAAATATACGATTGCATTTAAAAAAACAAAGTTGAACTTCATATGACCTTTACGCGTCCACATAGAAAATAATATTCCTCACACCAGAAAGTGTGCCCCCTGATACCATTTAACTTTCGTCTGAAACATTTCTAAATATCGTCGATAATTCCGAAGATATTCGAGTGGTCTATTTAAATGGTACACCCTCTATAATTCTAATTCTTTCCACCGATCTATAATAGAATGATTTAAACCTAAAGATATGATATTTTACTAAATGAATGGTGTACCATCCACTGGGTCCACTCTGACCCGAGTTTCAAACGCTCCATCTAAGGATCAATATATTTATAAAAAACTTGGACATCATCTATCAAAAAAACGCCTTCATGATCCGTTAAACAATCTCAGCCTACAACCACAACAAATATCATCAGTCTTCTCGGGAAACATTTTTTTCACTCCACACGTGTATTTTTTTTTTTTCAAGAGAGAATGAATCGTTCGGAATCTGGGATTATATCATCGTCTATTTAGGAACATTCCGTGGAATCGGGTGCCGAGGCACTGGCAGTTCACGGGCACAATGTTATCGAACGCGAACGATATATGTACGGTCAATCCACGTTTGCAAAGTGGGCGCGTGCGGCTCCGGGTGAAAGCTCCGGGAGCGCAACAACGCCGGAGCGCCGCGCGTGCCGACGACACCACGCAACGCGTCGCCACGGGACCGATCCGCAATTAAAGAAAGTTCAGGGCGACGCACATCGTGTTTCGGCTCTGTCACGAGACCCCCCACCCCACACCCGCACGACGACCGATCGACGATTCCGCGCGGAATTGAATATTTGCCGAAGTTAATCGCGGCTGGTAACGGTATTACACCTGAACCCGATGGCAACGGTCACACACACTCGTCGTAGCCTCTATCTCTTTTTCTCTCTTCGGGGAGCCGTTTATTGCTCCTTTACTTTTGTCGTCGTTGCCTGTGCTCTCCTTTTCACGGTTCGCTGCCAGACTATTCATTGACGACCAGTTGGTCGCCGTGAAAATCGACAACGGTCCACGGTTTAGTCGATTTCTACTGTTATCGTGGTTGAATTGTAATGATTAGACTGCGGATTTTTATGCAAAATAACATTTTCTGGAGAAATTTATAAAGACAGAAGTAAAAGTAAAAATTTATTTTTCCTCCTAAGTATCTTATTGGGTTTAGAATAAAGCAGAAAAATCATTGGATCCGATGGAAGTTTTGTTTTTTATTATATTTAACAGAGCTCTATGAGCTATAAATGCATAAAATCCGCAGTCTAGTGATGATAATAAGGAATCTTGATAATGGTGATGTATACCGAGAACATATTATAGAAATGTTTTCAAGTTGGTGAAGTTTAAACAAAAAATGAAGCGATCACAATGGTAAGGATGGTGACCACCGATGTATTTAGCACAGGTAGATGATTAGTAAATAACTAAAGATGGAGGAAGGACCTGAGGCCTGTTCGAAGTCGCCATAAAGGCCCGCGACCTATAGTAAGGCTTGGGGATAATGAGAATACGCCTTTATGTGATAAAAATTCATTTACAATTGACACGTTGAAGCGGGCACAATAAGAATTATACCTGCATTCTATAATGAATAAATATTATCATTCTTTCCGTATTTCTTCTCTCTTTTTTGTATTATATCCGTATGTTTCTGACTAGACAGTTAAGTAAATTCGAATCCTAAAGGCAATATAGAGGAATACAACTATAAACATTTCATTTAATACGGTCTTAATTAGTGATTAATCGTGAGTAAATAACTGTTTAATAAATTATACCCTGATTAGTCAAGCCTGATCGGACTTGTTAATAAATAAAAATTCATTAATGTATAATGGACGAAGCTCAGTTGAGTCCTCTCTACTATTGTATCTAACCCGAATTGTAAGTTGGATATGTACGTCGAAAATGAGTACCTACAGTTGTTACTAGGGCCGATTTATGAGCTACTCCTATCAACAATTTATCGAACCTGAATTTATAGGAAAGGTCAATACAGTTCCTGACCAATGTTACGTACAAACAAAATATTTAAGTAAAAAAAAAAACAAACTTTCATTCGGAGTTATTCTGTAACAGAAACACGAAACTATCGAAATTTGATCACGGTTGTATCGATAGTCGCTATCTTTCTGCTCACTTTTTCTGGAAACATTTCTGAATAACTGGCGATCACGAAGTTTAACGAGATAATACGCGTTTACGAGATATTACAGAGCTGACGGAACGACGGGTTTAAATATTTGGAATACAGAGCCAAAAATATTTCCTCAATTTCTATGAAGATTATTTTGTCGCGCGTAAATGGAAAAGAGGTGGTAGGCTGTTTGCTGAGCATACATATAAATAAGAACTTAATATCAATTATGTTTATGTAATAGAACGTTTTTCTACTTTTCGTTTATGAGAGAGAAAAATGCGTGTTTTGAATAAAAATGCGAAGTAACGACAAATGGTCACTGAAGAAAAATGATATTGTAACACGAACTTTATACATTAATTGAATGTTAGCTTCTTCGATTCGAAAGATTAATTTATCAATACTTTCTGTTTACAATTCCTTTCACTAGTGAATATTTCAAGAAAAAATATTTAATTAAGCAAAACTATTTCTACAAATATTTATAACTACCTCTATTTATTGTTACCACAAATACTCATTCCTGTTTCAATTCATTCAATTGGCCAAGTGCAAAAGAAAAATGATATTAATAAGGAAATACATTAGTTCCCGAAAAATAATTATTGTTAGTTAAAGTGTTCAAAGTTATTGGTTTCAAATGAATCTTGCCCAGGTCTGGAGCAGCTAAAGGTCAATGGCGTTCGTTTGTTTATTATGGTGGACACTCCAGTAGGTGTATCTGCTCGAATGTCAAACAGCACGCAGGACTGTTTGAGCAGTTCGCTATTACAGCGAAAAATCCGGATAATTTTTTAAAATCCACATACCTGTTACCGCAGCAGGACCCTCGTCGTTCTTCGAGTAATCCGCGTTCGGTGAGATATTTAATTAATCGTACAGCACATTTTAACACACGCCGGGACACACTGTGCGCAGGCAAGAGTCAACGAAATGCACCACGAGCGGACTGACAGTTACCACGGGTTGTTCATTATTGGAAAATCTACCATACAGGCTGCTCTTGCGCAGCCGGCGCGATACTACCGACTTCCTCCCCTCTATAGGCCGACGCCATTTCTACCAACCTTCCTTCCCTCTAGCTTTCACGTTCTTCACACCCGTATCCAAAAAATTCGGCGCCCTGCCCTTGCGTAGAAAATTTATTATAACTAGACTGCGGGTATTTATAACAGATACAATCGAATAAAATATGGTGAAATAAAAATTTTAAGACACTATAACACCTACATTTTTTTCCTTGTTTCCAAGTGATAAATTTCATTGAGGCAATCAGCTATTTAAATCCTGTTTTCATAAATTAATTCGTCAAAATGTAAATCTGCACAAACATCTGCATTTAATTTATAAACATATATGAAATTTTTTTCAAATTCGTGTTTTTACGGACTATATTTTATCGAAAGTTTCCATATGATAAAAATAATAGGTGTATCGTTTAGGGATCTGTTTTCACCAATATTCATTATTCGTTTTAAAGTTAATTGAAGACTTCATCTACGTTGACAATATTAATTCTTTGATATTCTCCAAACTCTCACAGAATTTTTCTAAGCATAAAGAGAAGTTAGTAGTTTTTAACTATTGTATGCAATTAATCATATAGTTTATCAAAAGTGTTTTAAACTTTAATTCAATTGATTGTCTACATATGATCTGCATATTTGTGAATGTTATAATAATATCCACATTTGCAGTCTACTGGTGACTTATGTCAAATGTCACGTACAAAATCAATGATAAGCCGAAATGTTATTAAAAAAAACATTAATTTGCTACATGTAATAAGTAGACTTTGAATTTCTATGCAAATTCAACTGTTTGGAACATCAACAAGAATAAATTATTTAATCGGTGACATGGTTCCTTGATTGAAAATTTTATTTGAATAAAAGTAAAATTTGCTACACTTTAACAAACTTTTCGTTTAATTGTCTTTTTTGACATCCAAGTACGGTATAAATTCATATAATCCATAAACGAATAATACTAAATGTTAGATTAGAACGTTTGCACATATAATTAGACAAAAACATAATATATTAAATGTAAGAAGGACGTAAATAATATCAGTGTAATAGAGATTGCGAAACTTGTCAAGAACTTCATAAAAACAACACCGGTAACTGCCGAGATGTGAAACTTGTGATGCGGCAAACCCGTCTAGAAAGCGAGTAGTTTGTGGAAACAGACAACCTCACAGAGGTTGGCTGAATTTTCGCAAAGTGAATTTCACTTGAACATTAGATATTATTTCCCTTGTCTTACCCTTGGATAATGAAAGTTTCGCGTTATTGTTGAGTCGCGTATTCTAAAGTGGATCAATTCACGGCACATTATTCGGTGTTACTCGCTATTTTTTGGAAAAATATACAGCGCTTCACAAAAATAAGATATCATGGCGGTACCCACTACCGGTGTAGGTAAGTATTTTATGTCTGTTTTATGAGCTGAAGATGCGAACGACAAACAGATCGGTTATTCCTTAAAAACTAATGACTTTTCTATAAACGAATCACAGGTTAAATTTCATGACGGAAACTGATCTCCGCATTCCTCATGAAATATAAAATCTGTCGTATTTCTTTTGTAGTAAGTTATCACGCACAGTAAACGTGTCTAAATGTAATCAGTGATTCGTCCTGTTTTCGAAGATATTTCTGTTATTTTGCATTTTCTATATGAGGAAAGTTACGCTCTACTTAAGAGAAGATTATAAAAATACAAACCAGCAGCAGGTTACACCATGCCCAAAGTTATAGGCTCATAACCTGTACTTATTTCAACTTTTTTTTATTAACACAAGCCTGTACGTAGTAAAATTGCTAACAGATTTAAAGATGATAACTTTGATTTCTTATTTTTAGTTGTACCTCGAAACTTTCGTTTACTAGAGGAATTAGAGCAAGGTCAAAAGGGTGTAGGTGATGGTACAATCAGTTGGGGCCTGGAAAATGATGATGACATGACTCTCACACATTGGACTGGAATGATAATTGGACCACCTAGAGTAATTTCTTCTTAAGTTTTATATCCAAATTGGAATATGTATTGTTATTATATTTTGCATGAATTATAAAAACAATATTGATGATCCTTGTAGTTTTAATAAAGGTGGATTTATTGGTTACTTAAGCATTATATGATATTGTTTTAGACACCGTATGAAAATAGGATGTATAGTTTGAAAATTGATTGCGGTCAGAGATACCCAGATGATGCTCCTAACGTTAGATTTTTAAGCAGGATCAACATAAATTGTATTAACAGTACTACTGGTGCAGTAAGTGTTTGTTTTTTGTTTGAGCTAATTAATAATGAAAATAATATTTCATGGATTGTATTTTATAGGTTGATAATCGCAGTGTACCAGTATTGGCAAAGTGGCAACGAGAATACACAATTAAAACAGTTCTTCAAGAGCTTCGCCGTTTGATGACATTGAAAGATAATATGAAACTGTCTCAGCCTCCAGAAGGTAGCACTTTTTAGCCTAGCCACATGTAAACTCAACATCTCTTCCTTTCTGTGGTAGCATGGGGCAAGATTCGGTCAAGGTACCAAATACTATTAAATGGGTACTCAATAAAGATGTATGCTAAGAAGTAACATCTGTATAAAAAAAAAGAAGGTGATAACTATAAAAGTTGAATCAGTGTTTTCAGTTTACAGAAATACTTACAAAATTCACAAAACATTTGTTTTTACGTATCATTTTCTAATTTTAAAGTACATTTCATGTATATGTAAAATTATTATTTTAATTCTGTTATTTTATTGTAAAGATATGCACTTGCATTTAATTTAAGAAAATGCTGTTTCAGCTTTCTAAGTTAATACAATCTAAAACAAGAGTCATATTTTGAATCTTAAAAACTGGAAACACAGACTGTGTAATAAAAGTAATAATCAGTAAGAACAACTTATGCCTTCAAAGTTTTTTAAAACGAAAAAAAAAAATTGCCTGAATATAAATTAGAAAACATTTCAGTTTGTGCATAAGTGCCATTTCATAATCAGTGGAGGTGTCTCAATAATTACTATTATAGATCATTCTAAATTTTAAGAATTTATATTTTTGTGTGCTCATTTTTACTAAGCTGTATTTTATGTTTTTCTCTGTTAGTTGTTACTAAGATTTTACCAAACAACAGGTTGTTGAGATCCATATTTGATATAATGATGTGCCTTTTTGTGCAAGTAGCATAAAAGTGAGCATGTATTGAGCACGTTTGGTTGAGACATCATCCAAGAACGGCCTCTTATTCTATATAAAAAAAACATGTTTCTTAATTAATAAAATATTATGTTACAATTGAAATATACCAAGCAGTAATTTGGTTTACAGTAGCATATATGGTAAATGGTATAGTGGTGCATCAGTGGATACATCAATATATGAAGCATTATATTGAAATCTTCTGTTCTCCATTCCACTATTTATATATTAAAAAAATATTTTAAGTTTAATGGTCTTTATGCTACAGTACGTAGTAAAAGCCTGTCCTTTACTTCATGACCCAAGCTTCATAATTGATGTATTAGTAAAACCATACTTAATTCTTAATAAACATCCAAAGTATCATAAATAGCTTTCCAAACATTAGGGAATCAATCAGGTGTATAATGCTAGGCGCAATTTTGTTATGAATTGCTACAAACTATACCGTTCCATAAAGCATGTCCAGAATGGAACAAAGGTTTTCCATAATTATGTTATATTTTAGAGAGAAAAAAAATATAATCATAAATTATTTCAAACGTAATATAATTTTTTGGAGTTTTGTTATCCAAGCTGTAGCAGTGTCCTTTATTTTTAAAGTAAATCCAAACCAAAGTATGAGATTTTTAACAGAATTCCACACCTATCATGTAATATTATTAAATTCTCAACTACCTGAAACATTATACATACCTCTTCATCAGCTTCGCATTTCTGTTACACTACAAATAATGTAATAGTGTAATCTAATTGATACTACTAAAAATATTAAATAATTATTACTCTATGTCGATGAAGTCAAGCTTAAAAAAAAATAAAAGGATTTCATTAGAAACGATTTCCATATTATTACTTTTTTATTCCTTCTATAGCATCGACACGTTGGGAATTTTTCTTCGATAATAAATACACATTAAGTATGTTTAACAATTTATTTAAACCAGACGATGGTATCATAGATTGTAGTTATATGTACAATGAGTAAGTTAGTAAGTTGATTGACTGTCGACTGACGATTACGTGTACGTATGTCAGTTTGCGTGCGATTATGTTTTCAATGATGCCGCAACTTTCAAATAAGTTATAAAACTACATTCCATTATAGCATGCTAACACCGTCGAATTGTTTTCTTTGATCTAATCTCTGAAGTTATTTATATTCAGACTGTATTTATTGCTTCCTCGTTTTAGGAGAGAAAAGTAGTTTGGTACTCTTTACTGTTGTCCACTTGTGTCTTTTCATGCAGTATGTTAATGCCGTTAGCGCCAGTAATATAGTAAATCCCTGCAAACGGTAAATAATAATTTATGTGACATTTAAATCAATGGAATATATTCTCAGAAACGTAGTTTTGATTACTGTCATCTTACCTTAATAAATATTCTCTTTCTGTCATCGTACTCAGGGTTTGATGTCCACATAAGGAATGTGGTTATATCCTTTGCTACTTGCGAAGCAGTTGCTGGTGTACCATCACTAAATTCTAAGACTTCATCGAAGATCACCTGACGATTTATAGAATTAATTTAAAAAGCAGTTTTAAAGAAAGTGATCACAGTCTTATGTATGTGTCTTGAATAATAATTTCATTTACCTGTGCCATACCAAGAGCTCCTCCTGGGAAGTATGGATTGAAATACTGACCTTCTGAAATTTTTACACCAGCTGGTGGATCACAGTAGCCAGTTAACAAAGAGAACACATAATTCTGAAATGAAAATTATGCTTCAAATAATTAATAAAAAAAGACTTACACACAATATAAGTATTAAGTGATATATTTACTTCTCCATTATGTCTTCCATTGACAATGTAGGTTAGATCTGGTGGATAGGCACCATTGTTAGCTGCTCTAGCAGCTTCTTCATTTGGATATGGTGATGGAATATAGTCAGATAATTTACCCGGACGCATGTACATAGCTCCTGTATCATCAGGACCATCTTGTACCTATATTAACCAGAGTTTCTCTTATTATATTCATTTCGTTGATACCATACAATCATCTTCATAAGTTTTCGAATTTATTACCTGAGCTTCTTCTGCGATAGCTTTCGCTTCTTGTTCGGTGTGTGTAACACCAACAAGTTCACGGTAAGCTACAAATTGCAGACTGTGACACGCTGAACACACATTCTTGTATACCTCCCATCCTCGTCTCATACTAAATCATGAAATGTATGTTTGCACATGTTTCATATATCTGTTCATTATGTTTTGTTATCTTTAATTACCTTGCATGATCTAATGAGTTGATTAGCCCATAAAAACTCCATGGGTAATTTGGAACATGAGCACCTTCAGAAGCTTTTACAGAATTCTCCAATCCATAAATTAATGCACTAATACCCCCTGCTGTTACACTCAGGCATGTTAACAACTATAAAATTTTAAATAACATCATTCTATTATTTGTATTACCTTTGTTCCTAATATTATATGTAAAAAGATTATAACTTACTATTAAGATACATAAACATATCAAGTGGAGACTGGGACTTTTAGATGCATATTAGGATTAGGAATAGAATGGACATCAAATGACTATAGAAATACACATACCATTTTTCTACCCCTTGACCATTGTTTTCCTGTTGAAAAATTATAAGCAGGCTGAAATAAAAATTTAGATATTGAATGAGAAACATTAAGGCTTCAAAAGACATTTTTCTTTTAAACATACTTAATAAAATTAAGAGAATTTTTGAATTAATGGTAATAGTAACTTAAGTTTATTCAAGGGTTATGAAAAACAGAGATTTCACAGTAATTTTACTATTATCATTCTTAGTTCATTACATATAGTATATGGTTGTTTCGTGATAAAAAATTATAAATATTTTCTGTGACGGATTTAATTTTCGGATAATAGCTTTACAGCATTTACGCACGTTTGATCATGGCAGCATCAAAATTTTCAGTACCCATCACTATTACATAACATCACATTAAATGTCTTTGAAATCATTTTAAATTAATTGACCTATTATAAAGTGCATGCAATTAGAAACAAAACAGTGATAGAGAGTATAAAATTATGCATCTTTGAAAAAAATGTCATAGCAGCCGACAAGTAGTACAGTTCCTTGAGAACCCTTCAAATTAAGTCCAGAATGTCAATATCACAACACCAACATCTTAATAAAGAATGATATTCATAGAATATACGAGCGGATGTACTGGGAAACAAGTGTCATTTCAAAATTACATACCTGCCCAAATAACGTGCCATAATTCGTCTTTAAAAGTCCAGATTTACAAACCCGACCCAGCGATGCCGCCATGTTGGCTAAAGGTACAATGTGCGAAGACCGCTAGTCAATACAACATCTGTAGAAATAATTTTTGTGAATCGATAAAATAATAATCCTTCGTATCTTTAGAATCATTCTGTCGTAATATATATGCTTATTTGGTGAAAGCACAAACCTTCTGTAGGATAGGACCGAATGATAACGTTCTTACACAACTTTCAAGTCTTTAAGACGACTTTAATCAAGGATACCAATATCGAAAGATTAACTTTTAAACGTTCAAATTCATCCTCATGAGCATAAGCTGTATATAATATTTTTTTATTTATGTTTATATTATCAAACGTACTTGTATTTCCTATATTTCGAGAAAACAGAATTATTAAATTTCTTTATATACGTAATATTTGCAATGGACCGACACATACAATGAATCATTTATAGTACATGATGTTTTATTAGAAGATATAGTGCATCTTAAGATATCTAATAATATTAATGTTTAGAATCTTTTTTTATTTTCAGCTTTATTACACTTTTGAAATTTATAAATCATTCCTGAATTCCTGAAGGCGTGGCGCATGCGCAATTTTTGTTGGTAGACTTGGCAGTTGCTGTCGACCATTGGTGTCAGCTGGTAGTTTCGTCAGACGGTGTCGTGAATCCTGTAATATCACATCGATCATCGTTCAGAAGAAAAAGATTCAAGATGAGCGGAGGAATGCCAGAATTGGGTTCGAAAATCAGTTTAATATCGAAAGCGGACATTCGTTACGAAGGCCGACTTTTTACCGTTGATCCTCAAGAATGTACGATTGCTCTGGCTAATGGTGAGTCTGAACTCAAGATGGATACCGAAATCAGTTTTGCCGCTGCTCCGTTTCCCGGTTACTTCGTTGTTGTACCCGCCGATATAAATTCTCGATTATCCTTTTCCTCTTGCTTTATATGCTTTTGTCGTGCATTGTTAATAAAAATTCTGCAGTTTCTTTGTATATATTATACCTGAAAATGCTTTCGAAACATTCGATATTTGATTTATCCGGTAAAGCTTCGATACAAAACAACCGGGGTCACCCGTCATTTATAACGGGTGTTTTGCCGAATATTTGTAATTTGAATGTACTTTTGAAATTTATTTCCACCTTTAACGTACCGTTTTATTTCCGTAAATGTACTAAAGTTTTACTTAATACTCTCAAATGTAAAGGAATCTCTACTGAGATATGGAGTAATAATGTAGGATACTCCAATATGTCTCACATAAACATTATCTAAGTGAACTATTACATATTTTCATATTATAGACCTATTAACTAAATACAGTTCAAAAAAGGTTTGTACTAAATAATATACCTGGCTTTCCAGTAGGTTTATCAGAACAATTCATTGTCTTTGAGTTTGTCTGGAATAATTTGAGTGTACATAAAATAGGCTAAATCTGTTCTGAGAGATATATTTAATTAAAATTTGGACATTCCTAATAATAATATGGGGTAATTATGTTTGTATAAAGCTAGGTTGCCTGAAAGCCATTCCTTACATCCACCATTGTGTGGAATGTTTGTGTTTCATGCTTGCCCTGTTTATGTTCCCTGTCCTTTCTTTTTTCATCACTATACAAAACTGATATAATGAATCGTTAAATTTGAATTTAATACCATCTCATATTAGGCTTCTTATGAAATTTTAATTTATTAATTAATACATATTATGATTGATAATATAAATTTTTATTTTATTTGGCTTTCTTGTATTTTAAATTTGTTTGAAATATCAAGATAATGAGAATTAATATTGTAAGATAGAAAATAGCTTCTGTGTTATATATTATACTATTGAATTTATTTTCTATGATACAGTGCGTTCTTTTGGAACTGAGGACAGAGAAACACAACTTCCTGTGGCACCACAGAACCAAGTCTATGAATACATTTTATTCCGTGGTTCAGATATTAAAGATATTCGAGTGGTGAATAATGTGAGTTCAATCCCAAATGATCCAGCCATTGTGCAGGTAATTACAAACATCAGATCCTTTTGTTAAAGTATTTGAATTTAATTCTTAATATTCATTGTCAAGTTCACATATTAAAATATAATTTGGTGTCACCTGTAATTATCATTGCTAAATAATTTGTGGTTATTTATAGATGACGGTGCAACCGTCTATGAGCCAGCAGTCATACCAACCACAGCCTAGTTATGCTCATCCAATGATGAGCCAGATGGGCCCAATGGGTGGGCAGTATGGAACACCTTATGGCATGACAATGGGTACCTCCAAACTCACTACCAATGGCCAATGTCGACCCATTACCAAAAGACCAATCTCTGGAAGATGGTAAACTGTTTTTGCTATGAACTATCCTTTGCCAATGGCATGCTTGCTGCTTCTTTGGTAATGCTTGCTAACTTCATTTTATCTAATAAAAGATTTTCCATATTTTCAAATTGTTTCTAATCCGTTGCTAATATGACAAGTTTTGCTTATCCCTTTCTTCTCTTAACCATTTATATTCTCTAGCTTCTGCTGCCGACTACATTTTTTTTTTATAAATTTTGATTATAACTTGGCTTGTGCTTGGATTTGGCATTGCTTATTTATCAGACAAACTGAATGCTTTCAGCACAGTTACAATTGTGTTTATTGATATGTGCATACGTATTTAGAAATATATTTGCACGTATAGAAATATTTGATAAACACTTCGATACAATGTTTCTAATCGACTTTGCAATAGTTTTACTTTTGTAATAATGTTTCCTTTCTGACACTGACAATTCATATGCTTAGTTTAATTTGAAAATTTGTTTGTTGAGCCTGGTACAAATAATTACTAAGTACAGTATTACTGTATTTATCGTTTAATGTACAATAAGAAAACTATTTCAGTGTCTGTTATGCAATTCTTCCTTCTGTATTTACATAATTATGCTTATCATTTTCACTAATTCAGTTATCTTACCAAGAGTTTGTGCACGCAAATTTTTCATTGTTTTTATGATTCATAATTTCTTCTTATATCTGAATAACATTAGAAGCATTATGCATTAGCAAGTAACATAATAGCAAGAACAGTTGAAATTTCTTGTAGAAATCTTTTTCTGAAATTTCTCTTTGTAAACATTTAAAGTAGTACCTTTTAAATATAATTCGCGTAGAACTACGGTTACAAGTATACTATTGAACATTCTTTTAAACGTTTTATCCATTGCGTTAAACATTTAACTTAATGTCTCAATAACCCTGATTGTTGGAAACACGAAAATTCAATGTATATGACTATTCGTCTTATTATCATAGGTGTATTAGATCTTATTAGCGGTGGTTCACGATCAACAACTCCAACATCGTCCTTGCTGACAAGAAAAAGTCCCACTATGGATCAGGGGGTTCAGGTAAGCCATCAGCAGCAGCAGCAACAACAAAGTGGCACTATTGGGAAACTCGGTGACAAGACAAACATGAGAACCATTCAACCTACTCGTCGTGATCATGATAGGTAGTGAAATCATAGCATTTATTTCATCTAAAAATCAATTACTAATGACTCATAAAGTTCTAATGTTCATACCTATTACCAAAGACTTAGATGAATCCTTCGAGATATCGATTATCGATAGTATCCTACATTATATGTTTTATGCCTTTACTTTCAGCCATAATAGCGGTAACAAGACAGGAGGCACTGTGTCACAGTACAACGACGCAAAGCGTGATCCTATGAAGCAGGATGGCCAAATGCAAGGTCAAGGAGCCCACACGCAAGGCGGTCGAGGAAATCGTGGTGGTTGGATGAATCGTGGAAATATGAGGGGCAGAGGTGGACGAGGTCGCGGTGGCTTTAGAAGTCAACCTGGTAATGCTGGTGCCAAACCGAAGAATACACTGAAATTCGACATCGACTATGATTTCGAGCAGGCTAATACTGAATTCGAAGAATTGAGGTGCGTACTTCTTCGACCTGTAAACTCTAGTTACTCAGCATGGCGGTGCCGGATTCATTTCAAGTACAGTTTGAAATGTGCAAAGTGGAACCCATGCAAAATCAATGTTTTATGCGTTTTTTAAAGTAATTCATAATTATACCATTTATGTATTGCTTACGCGACGCAGCGACAAGTTGTTTATTTTTTAACATACATCGATTCATTTGAAATAAATATTCAGTGTGTTCTATGTTACACATTCTAGATCTCAGTTAGCGAAAACGAAGATCGATTCTGGTACTGACAATGAAAAGAAGGATGACAGCGGTAATGAAACTGGAGCAGGCGAAGGAGAGCCTGAAGAGGAACCGGAGGTAGTCCATTACGATAAGTCGAAATCTTTCTTTGATAACATTAGCTGCGAAGCTGTCGAGAGGAGTAAAGGGTGAGTGTACATTTCTATTGTTTAAAAATATTTAAATCTTTTAATATCGTGTGTACGATGCGGGTTTCGCTTGAAAGATAAACGTAGCATTTAAAATTATTGTGGTTAACATAAACTTGCTTGAAAATATTGTACTTTTAAAATATGACAGTCGGTTCCAACGTACGGACTGGAGGACAGAGCGTAAATTGAACTCTGAAACATTCGGCGTGGCGTCAACGAGGCGCGGTAGTTTCCGTGGTCGCGGTTATTATAATCGTGGAATGGGCGGCATGTACCGAGGTGGTGGTGCTGGCGGTTTCCGTGGTGGTTACAAAGGTTCTAGAGGCGGTAACCGCAATCCAGCGAACCAACACCAACAGCAACAGAACAATCCTGGCAGTCAAAACCAACGTACGATCAACGAACAGTCGGCCACTCAATCGCAGCAAAATAGCCGCGTTGTATCATTTTGAATAACGCAACGGGACACCATATATGTATAAGTATTCACTTTAGATTAAGATTTTTACGATACGTGCTCTGCTCTTATGGACTGATTTGAATTTCGAGTTTAAGAAGGACTCACTGATTCAAGAAAATAATAGAAAAGAAAGGTCATGGGGGGGTGGGAGGGTGGGGGGGGGGGGGAAAGTTCTTTGAGAGAACTTTATCGAGAATCTTTTTGTATTGCCACGCAGAGACACAGTAGGGAATTAACGGATGCTTTGGCCCGGAGTCCTGGGTTTAGAATTTATCGACAAATAATAAATCTTAACTGTTATAAGTAGTTAATTTCGGAAACTCGGTACTCAGAGCCACTATGTCCTACGTCTTAAGGAATCATGGAATGCTTGATGAATGTAACAAGTACAATAACACACGCTGGACGATAGAAACGATAGAAATGTTCCGCGAGACATATATAATAACACGAATCAACTGTTTTTACGGCACATTAAGTTACGCTCGTTTTGGGTTGCACTGTTCGAAGGAAACTCGGGAAGCATGCGGATATCGCGATCGCGGAAAGAGAACAATGAGAATCTCAAGGAAAATATTTTCTAATGCAGCACGAAACTCGCGACGAACGCGGTATAACAGTGAAGTAAAAGTGTTCGGGACGATTTCATGGGAGAAATGGGGTGTGTTAAACGAAAAAAAAAAAAACTGACTAATTCTTCGTGTTGCACACATACGATTCAGTTGATATGAATCATACGAAAGGCGCCAGCCGTTGTTGACTGTACCTTTCCGCGGATAAATGGAACACGGAACTTAGTGTGGGGAGGGGGAGATATGGAACAAGGAACAAGTGGAAAATGCGTACAGTCGCAGACTAGAGAGTAGGACAATATATTATTGTTATTTCGAACAGTCAAAACTTTATTTATTTAAGATGATGACCGATGTATATGAATTAAGGTGAAATCATTTTACTCGTACATTAAACACACAGAGGGGGTTTTGATTTTCGAACGGGAACGTGTTTAAACGGTTCCTTGTAATGAGACGGTGTAGGAGAAGAAAAAAAAACATATACACAAAGACACAGTTTAAAGGGAAAAAGTAGAATTGATTTTGTACGGTTGATAGAGAATATGGGGGGTACACGCGGAGGCTGAATCGTACATCGATTTATTGACTATTAGGTTTTTTTTTTTTTTTTTTGAAATATTGAACGTGGTATGCTCGTGGTAAGTGAAAATGTGTGTGAGAGAGAGATATATATAGAGAGAGAGAGCTCGCAAATGCCTTCCTATAGTTCGACTGCGTTTAATAGCTTCGAGTCCGTCGAAGATATCGTTTTTTGATGTACGAGGACGCCGCGGGCAGATCGCAGACAGCGTTTGCGAGAGTAAGACTCTAAAACAAAGTAACAGAAAAAAAAAAAAGTACGCATGATAATGTCCTTAAAACTATAAGACGCAAGAAAGAAAGGCAGAATAGGTATATTATTTGCGACTGTTATTTTCTTATGGCTCGTACGGAGTCCCCAAGCGTATACAGATATATACATACATAAACAATGAGATTTAGTTACGTGTAAGTCGAAGAGAAACCTCCATAAGCTATCAGTAAAGTTGCAAAGGTAAAGTTAACAAAAACGGAAAAAAAAATGAATAAACGCATATATGATTAAAAGATAAGTAAAAAATAGGAAGAAGGAATATGGGGGATAAAAGTAATGAAGAAAATATAACTTTTAAGTTTTATGCATTGGCCCGTCTGAAGAATTGCTTGCACGGGCGTACAATGCGGTTTTCCGATGATGAATTTTTTTTTTGTACAGCAGATATTGTGATTCTCAAATGCTGAATTAATACTGAGATAATAAAATGGAAAGGAACGTTTATTGTACTCTTTAAGCCCACCAATTTCACTCTGAGAGCGAAAGAGAGAGTGTGATAGAGAGCGATTTGTTTGAAAGTATTTGTCAATTACTTATATTACTTTTTTTCGTATGGTAAAATATTGTTCGGCATAAACAATTGTAAATCGACAGTGCTAAGCAGAAGTTTCAAATAAAAAGAGACACACACAGAACATATACGACGAATGAAATATCATTATTTTTTAATCTGTAGATTATTGCGTGCGACGATTGTACAAAGTGCGATGCGTATAAAATACTTTTACCACTGTAATATCGATCACACTCGAGATATCACAAGCAACCCAGCTTAACACTCTGCCTTACAATTTCTTTCACGGCTGAATACACCACATTTCGATCGATTCGCAATTTAATCACCGTAAATCCGTACTTATTGTAAGGTCGAATCTCTGCTCGACGCGTGTCGTTTTCAAAAACGAACTGACAGCTTCCCGTCACTTTCGGTCACGGTTTTCGACAACTTTTTCAACAGAAACAACAAAAATTGCCAATTTTCCTACCCCTCCCGAGGTGACGTCGTGCAACAAAACCGTGACGTTTCGAGGGGCCGTTCATTTTGGAAGATCCATTGAACGAATAAGTCGAGATATATCATCCCAGTAATGCGTTTCGTCAAGCGCAGCTCATCAGACCTGTTCGCGTGTTGTCGCAGACCTCTCTTATCGGACGACCTCTGCTCACCACTTTGGTCTCGACCAGCGTGAAGTTATTCTTGTATGTGCGGCGCAAAGTACGAGGATTCGGTACGTAAACCTCGTACGGACTACGACCGTTCTCGACGACCCATATGCTGCCGGACTCGCCCACTCGGAGAATCGACATCAGGCCTTGTGCCACCACGTACGGCCTGAAATGGACAATAAACGATTAGACAAAAAGAAAAAAAAAAACAGAAAAAGATGGGTCGTCGAAGGAGAGACTGCTCACGTTTGTATCGATAATTGCTCGAGGTTCTTGACAAAGTCAGCCTTCATGAATCTCGAAAGCAACTTGTTTGGACTGTCCACGGTTAACGCTGTCTCTGTCAGGCCAGGGCACAACGTTATCACACGGATACCGGTTTTCTCGTACTGATATGAATCCTGAAATAAATTCATTTTTATTTGTCGGTCGAATTAGAGATCTCTGATTAACCGACTATTGCGATGGACGAATGAAAGAATTAGATCTTGATTGGTGGGAGAAGACGAAGACGAGAGGCATCTTCATTGAATAGATTGTATACGTTGTAACCTATCATTATTGTGTATATGTTGTAATTCATGTTCGTTTTATATATAAGGATTAAGATTTGAATAAACATTCTTTGGTCGGGTTTTAACTACATTACCGAAATGGTCGTCATTCCACTAGGGCGAAAGAAGACTTATTAATATACCCCTCACAGAATTAATGTTGAAATGATCATTCCAGTAAATTTTTTTTTCAACAGCACAAACGTAATAGAGTAATATGTTATTTTTGAGTTAATAATTATTTCAAAGAAGAAATAAACTATCGTCTTACCGCAAGAGATTGCGAAAGACCGATTATGGCGTGCTTCGTGGCCGTATAAACCGGAAGTTGGGCTGTGTTCTTGATGTCTATGTGTTGACTGACGTTCACCAAAGTTCCCCCGTGTCCGTCATTGTCTCTATTCAAATACTTCACAGCCAGCAACGCAGTAGAAATCATTCCTCCCTAAAACGTTAAAACGTGATCTCTTCAGAAACAATAAAAAAAGAAACGAAGAAAATTTTCCTAATCACTTACAAGATTCACTGCTATTTCTTTCTCCCATCTCCGTTCATCCAATATACCAGCATTATTCACGACAATATCAATGTCATTCATCAGCCTTACCGCTTCCTCGAAAGCCTCTGCAATCAACCGGATTTAGATTAGAATTTTCGAAATCTTCAGAAGAAAAAAAACAGCACCAGAGAAGATAACAGAATTTCAATGCAAAATTACACCGTAGGAAGTTCCGTCTATATTCAGTGTCTTTTTTTCAAAGTCGTCAAAATATTTATGTTTTCGTTACATCAAGGTCCAGGCAGCCATTTATCAGTTACGTGACAAAAGACCGCTGACGCCTTAGGAATTCGGGTAAATCGTACATACATCGAAGTGTTATCAATTGCTTCGGGATTACTACTGTGTCTATCTCTAACCCAATTCCTGTGCGATACTTACCAGTCATCCGTTCGTAATTTGACACATCGACGTGAATAAAATGAACTTTCTTCTCGCCGCAGGATTTCTCCACGCTCAACTCGACCCTTTTACCAGCCTCCGCGTCGATGTCGAATATCGTCACTTTCTGAAATCATCCCATTAACGGAAACGGTGAGAAATATTTTACAAAAAACTGGGACGGTATATTGAAAATGTTCAAGGACTTACGTTTGCACCGTGCTTCAAAAAATGATTGAGAAACGCGTTCCCTAAGCCTGCTGCGCCACCGGTGATTAGGATATTTTTACCTGAAACGATCCCATTAATCGCCTCTATTTCCTTCGCCTTTTCAGAGGCCGACGAATGCCTGCGTCTGTTGTTCATGGTGGGGATGGTCTCTGTAATATTCATGGAATGGTCAATTACGGTTTCCATTTTGACATTCAGCGTAGAGACACAGTCATGAGGAGGAGCTCGAGTATTAGAGACGCAAGTGTCTACGATCTTCGTACTAGTTCGACCTTCGTTTAGTTTCATATTTCCTGTGAAGTGTAGAAGTGTTTGGAACTTTCAAGAAGAAAAACGAGTAGGATGTGAAGATACAAGGATTTTTAAAGATTTTTCTTCCCTCCCAATGCCTCAGAAGTTTCGGTTCAAGTAAGTGTGAAACGGTACATTCTTATTTAATGCATAAACAATCATGGTTTGGAATTTCTATTGAAAAAAAAGAAGTCAACTATTCGAAGAACTCGAAGTTTTGACTTTGTTACTCTTCTCTGAATGCCAAACAATCGCACACTATCAGTTTTACAATTTTCACATCTACGAAAGATAAGAAAATGGTCACAAAAATGGACATTCATCTAATTCTTTGTGGTTCGAGTCTCTTCCTAGCACTGTTTTCGAGTACGATCGAACGTACCCATATTTCTATTCCGTGTTGTCACCGGGATCGGAGAACAATAAAGAAACACAAGGCGTTAATCGAGAACGTCCGACGACGGGAATGGAAAAACGTCACAAGAGGGTGGACGGTCGTGACTTGGCGTACTGAAGCGTGGCTAGTGATCGTCGGTGGTATTTATACGCGGATGGAGCTGTCGCATCGCGATTATCCCGTGGAAAGATGATACGGGCCGCGAGACGCGCTTGGATTTTTATCGCGAGGGGAGCCTCGTGGATGTGGCTGAACGAGGGGGATAGAGAATTTATTCTCTCCTCCCCTCGGCGAACCAGGATAGACGGATCTCGAACAGTCGATAGCCCTCTTAATTAACCCTTCCCGTTCGGACCAATTAATTCAGTCTGTGGCTGGTATCGCGTCTGCTTGGAGATTTCTCCGCTCGATACCCGGTCGAATGAGACTTTGCGCGCGTGAAATCGCTTGGCGGGGCGCTTATTGTTGGATAAACAAGCCGAACAGGTGAAATCTGAGAAGCATTAGGTATTTCATTCCGAGTAAAAAATTATGCGTTGCTTATTGTATGTGCAAGATTATGGTGCACGTATTGTCTTTGTGGATTGTAATCCCAAATAGCACAAGACGCCCATTTTACGGCTATTTTAGGTTTAAGGCGCCTTTAAGCCGTCTTCAAGGTGTCATTGGGTTTCATGTGCTTTTTCGGAATATGGTCAAGTATTTGTATTTTCATTCGCAGGTGTAAATATCGTACTATGTTTTATTAGGTGCACCAATAACACATGACGCCTTAAAGACGCCAATTTTACGGCTATTTTAGGTTTAAGGCGCCTTTAAGCCGTCTTCAAGGTATCATTGGGCTTCATGTGCTTTTTCGGAATATGGTCAAGTATTTGTATTTTCATTCGCAGGTTTAAATATCGTACTATGTTTTATTAGGTGCACCAATAAGTACCCAGATAGCACATGACGCCTTGAAGACGGCTTAAAGACGCCTCAGACCTAAAATAGCCGTAAAATGGATGTCTTCAAGGCGTCATGTGCTATTTGGGTAGAGGAGATGGTCTAAATATGGGCTAGCACTTATTGCTAAACCTGTTGCAGATTGTTATAATGTAACACTTCGATGTATGTAAAATGTGTTTGCTTTATGATATGGAGCTAAAATAAGCTTGTTTTTTTAATCGTAGTTTATACTTTTAACTAGGCCCCATTTAGATTCTACCCTTTATTTGGACCATCTCCTCTAATCCACTACTGTATTCAATTACCTGACAACTCTGTGTGGCATAACTATAAAACCATTCTAAAATTTTAAATTCTTATGTATTATGGTTAAAATAAAAAGGAAAATAATGTTTCTCTAGAACAGGATAGATTATATTCTCTAGAAAAAAGTGGTTTGATTTTAGTTTGGCTACTATACATAAAGTCTGAAAATTTTGGGGTTGTTTTATAGTTATGCTACGCAGTGTATATTTTATGCGAAAAATATCTCTTGGATCATTCACTACATAAAACTAACGTAGGATGTTGGAAAACCAATGTAAATATTAATCTAATAGTACAAATATTTCATTCCCATAAGAAGAAATTTTAATCTCATCAAAAAGTGGATTATTTATTGGTAGTACACCTAATACTTTCGGGAATTAATCTATATTTTTGATATACCTTCTTTCAATCTTATACTGTTCTGCTTTGTCTTCAACGCATCTCTTAATTTAATGAATGAAGTCATTGTATACCGACGAGCAAACTCGGCTTCCGTTAGGGGAAAAAGTGACGTAGGAGAAGGGCCAAATCTGTGCCAACCATGCACTTACCTGTTGGTATTTAGAATTACTGATATTTATGCCAAATTAAAATTCGAGTTAAAATTTATTCCAGTACCTGAAAAAAATTTACCAAGTGCTAGGAGACTTTTCTTCCACGCCACTTTTTCCCCTTAATGGTAGCCGAGTTTACTCGTGGGTTTATCTATCTTCGCCTCTATAAAATGAAGTACAATGGTGAAAGCAATGGAATAGAAATGAATGTCCGAATAATTTAACGAAAGCGGACTAGGTCAAGGCTGGCTAGAAAGGTTACTCGGTGGAAATATCACGCGATATTAACATCCGGTTAGGGTCATCGCGTTACGTGACGTATTCTACCCGGAAAGCGCAGTAACAGTGCAACGACCGTTCGATAAAAATGCATCGATAGGATCAGTCACCTAACTGGGAATGTGACTTCTGTAATTTCCACACGGTAAATGCGTCTCGAAAGGAAACAGGGATCAAGGCGTATATACACTTTCCTTGACTCATCTTCGTTGAACTCCGACGACACGGAACCACGAAAAGAAATCGCAATACGCGTCATTCGTGGACAGATAACGAGATCGAGCTGGCAGCTTTTTTTTTCATATCAATTTCTAACGTTTCAGTCTTTCCGTGCAGAAATCACCAAGATTTCCGAATGATCGATATTTTAATCGATTTCTAACGTTTACGTTTCCAAAGGAATCCCGAAACATTTCTGAACGATCGGGACAAAAGATGGGTACAATTTTTATCTTGAAAGCTGCAGAATGAAAAACATATTACATATTCTTTTTAGAGAGATAATAATTTTAAATTATCGCTGTACACGTCATACTGTGAGTTGGAGATACCAAAATTTCTCGATATACATTCTTGTCGAATCAAATACAACAGGCAAAGAATATATGTTGTATGACATATGTATGACGGTTTCCGAGTCTTTATGGCGGCCATTTGTCGCTCATAGTTTCCATAAAAGGTAGATACAATTGGGGGTCCAGTACAAGACGGAACTATGCAACAGTAGCGTTGTGAAATATTAAGGCTTTTATGAAAAGTAATGTACACCATAGTATACTGTGATCGTTTATGTATAAAATCATTTCTTTATATACATACACAAAATATTTGTTTATATCTACAATTATAATAGAGATAGGAATTTTCCCATGATTTATAATTAAGGGATACAAACTGAATACTATACTATGATTGTTTATATACATAAAATATTGTTTATATCTACAAACATAGTACCGACAGCCAGGAATTTTGTTACAAAGTTATAAATTCAGGGATAATAATTAAACATGAAAACGTGCCAGAGTGAATAAAAATCTCATTTTTCAACATTATGTTTGAACAGCATCCCTCTTGCACTAAACCCCTTAATTTCCTCGACTAGAAAAACAACCAAACGAAGGTTTCATTTCTTCGAATAAATCTTCGCTCGATGCTCTCTCTACTAATTCAAAGTGAAATATTACTGTTGTTCGAAGTTTCTTATCTCTATATGAAATCTTCCCGCAACTCGGCTGGTCGTTCGCGGTCTCTCCTTCGCTCGCGAGGTCTGACACGCCGGATAAACAGTCTTGGAAAAACATAAATTTACAGAGAGTCGTGTGGCACGGGGGACCGATAAAGAGTCGACGTACGCGCAGCTCGTGCTCCCCGTTCCGTAATCAGTGGAAAAGTGCAATTTAATGTCAGCGCCGTCGTGCAGACGATAAATCGGGGAGAAACCACGCGTTTCAACGGCGATAAATCGATCCGGTCTCGGCCGGTTCGCGGCGAACTTTACTCCGTTTGCGACCGACGTTGAACCGCGAAGAGAAACGCGACTTTATCGGTATCCCGTTGTTATTTTTTTTTTTGCCGGCTGCCACATTGTTGCGGCTCGAAGTGCATACAAGCTATTCGACCACATCATCGATCATTTACACGCGCTTTCGTGATCCTTGTGTTTTCCAATACGAGCGCACGATCTGACGATTGCTTCGCATTTTTCGCGAGTAACACGAGTATGGAAAACACAATAACGTGTAAAGAACTTTTCAGTTTAAAGGAATGAGATCATTAGTTAGAAACCATTGTTGATCTTTTAGTCAATTTCGGTCGTAGTAGATTGTTTAATTAATTATCGAACTGCGAATTTTTATGGAAATTCATATTTTTATTCAATTAATATCTGCTATTAATGTGTATCCAAGACGTGCGCATGATCCTAACGATTGCTTCTGTGGTGGCATTACCTCCTACATTTGCCACCAGAGGTCTACCGAGTTAATACCTTTCCCGCAACTACCTGAAGCCTTCCTCGTTCGTATATATACTCCCTTAATCGTCCATCTTGCCTCCCTGCGTTTAAGAATGGGTCTGCTAGGCAGCATTTGTAACGAAGTCTACTAGCATGCTCAGGACGAAACGTGCCCTATCCCCCACCTTTTCTCCCCTTTCCTTCCCTTAGCCTTAGCCTTTAGCTCCGGGTCATCAGATTGGCGTCGAACCGCGCTTCCGCGATTAACCACCGAGTATGCAGAACACAACACAATACGTGTGTAAGGAGAGCAGCAGCAACATCAAGTAGTTTATAAGAATTAGCTAGCTAGTGTTAGGAAGGGAACCATGGTGGTGGTGGTTTCCATATTTTTTGGTCAATTTTAGTCGTAATGGATTGTTTAATTTATTATCGAACGGCGAATTTTTATGGAAATTCATATTTTTATTGAATTGATATCTGCTATCAATGCGTTTCTAGGACACTGTATCGCACATAAAAAGAGGAGATAATTGCAACGGTGTTCAAAGCGCCGACCAATGAATGTATTTATCGAGTCTTACTTTTTATTCGTGGAAAATATTCACCATTGTTCGAAGCACATGGTCACTGAATACGTTTATCGAGTGTTGTTCTTTATTTGCGGAAAGTCTTCGCAATTTAGATACACCATTTGTTTTTACTACGCCGTAATTAGAGTCTTTTGTAATGTTATAAGTTCGCTATTCAGATTTTGTCGAAACATTGAATCATTGGTAATTTTACTCTCCACGGAACATTTTATACACGACGTCCTGTACTAAAGATGTAGTGTTATCAAAAAATAATTCTTCATTTCGAAGCACAGAACTTTTGAATCTTGGGAAAGAAGAAGAAAGTTAGGCACATTCCTCGAAGTTCGAGAAGTAAAGTTTCAGCAATTTCCCACGTGTTTCTATGCGATAAATATTTCTTCTTGATTTTTATTCTTAATTCTTGCTGATTTCCTCGTAAATGCTAACCAGTGTGTATGTTGCCGGGTTATCGCTCGTTCGACCTGATTATGAAGTTTAGTACATATATATCATTCCACGTGTATCATTACCTGGACCGATGTGAACGTATGAAACAAATAAAACGTAAAGAAAACAAAAAAAGACGGAAATTAAAAAAAAAAGGGGCGGGGAATGTCAACAATCTATCGACTTTAACGCCGTTTTTTTGCTTCTTTAACTGACTTGATAGAAGTTACGAATCAAAGTTCAATTTTTTTTCGTGAGAACCAGTCTTCGGTGGTCTCTGATATCGTGGCGCTTTGGGTCCCATAAATTATTTTCGCCCCGTGGAGCATCCGATATCTTGAATGGGACTTGTTCTGGATAAGATTCACACTTTTTTGGTCCTATATCACTAGAAATAGTTCTATTCTATTTTCACAAAAATAATGTATTCATTAAAATATTCTATTTTTATTTCAAATCGAAAGTTTATTAATTCTTGTTTAAGTTATCATTTCGCTGCTGATTAAACATAGCAATGATTAGCGAATAAAATACAAAATACAGATAAACGAGAATACGGGGTGAGGCGTGATAAAAGTTGTTGTGACTCGGTGAGATTAAGGGATAAACAAATGACCTGTACCATGTAAGTAGTTAATTAGTCGATTACAAATTTGAATTTTATTAACTCCACGAAAATATATATTATATTAAAATTGTAAATATCGCGAATTACAATAACGGATAATCACAAAGCGCACGTGTCCTGTGTTACTATAATAATACTTCAATTGTGTCTACAAAATTTCGTGACAGGATCTTTTTCTATTGTAATTTAAATCTCGTTGAACGAAAACTCCTCGGGTTTCAGTGGCAGACTGTCGGACAATTGAATTTCGTAAACTGGTTTCCCGTCCTCGCTGATCCAAATGCTTCCGTTTTGAGCGCATCTGATCACGTAAACTAGTCCGTGGGCGATACTGTCCACTCTGACATAATAAAATAAAATATCGTAACAATAGCCGTGTCTACTGCAATCGTTTCAGTAGTAAAAAGAAAGTATGTAACAGGCATATAATCTAATTAACTTCATGAAATTTACGAATTATAAATGATATCGAGATATTATTACAATAAGAAAAATATATTCTTAACTAGTTTTACGAACAGACTTACCTTTGTGGGTGGTATTTCTGTAGAGATTCCCCTTCCGGAAGATCGTTCGAACTCTGCGTAATTTCAGGACACAAGACTATTATCCTTACTCCTGTCCTTTGATAGTGATAAGGTTGCTAAGAGAAGAAATATAGAATTTACATTCCAATCACTCATTTAATATTTAATAACAATTTACGGAATCTGATTACTATCGATTTGATCTTAACGACCATATTCTACACCGAGATAGCACATGATGCCTTGAAGACGCCCATTTTACGGCTATTCAAGGCGTCATGTGCTATCTCGGCATTATCACAACGAAGTTTCAATATTTATGCTTTCTGTGAATTAATATGCCATTTCAATGTAAAAATAATTGTTTAAATTACAAATAATAATGTACTAAGTAGACATGATACATTATCGTAAATGCAGATTTCTTTTTTCTGTTCATTTTTTATCCCGTGGAATATGATATTAACCCCTAATTAACATTAGCTTAGAGATAAATAATCTGACAACGACCTTGTAATTCTTTTAATAACTAACTGAATGTTATTTTTCGTTATCGATTCGGAAATAGAGTTACTCACAGTAAGTGACTTTTGTCCCGGATTCTAGCTCTGCGTACCGCATAAGTACACGTTTTTTTATTGTATTTGTATTTGTTTCATTAGGTATTTTTTTTTTAAATTACCTCTCCCCTTTTCTACCGGGCTCGATGTCCCAGATTGCACCGCAGAAAAAATTGTCACCCTACTATACCACGCAAGTACTTACGGTTGCAGGTACCTACGCGCCTAAAGGTTCTAAGATTCTCCACCAGGTGGCGGTAGTGATAGAAAAATTCGAATCACGGAATTAAGCGGAAATATAAAATATAACAAAGTTCTTATTTTTATACGTGACGTGTTACATTAGTAAACCTCGAACGGTACATGATTTCATTTTAATAAAAAAAAAATCGTCTCTAAAAAGAGTAGTCAGTAGTTAATACTATACTATACTTGTATACCCAAGCATTGAAATCATCAGTATCGAAAATATTTTTAAATGGCTCTACCCTGAAGGATTAAAGATCGTTAGTATTCTCTGACCTTTCCAGAAGACTAATTTGAACGCTTTCTAAATTGCACAGAATGCAATAGGATTTGAAAGAAAATAAGTATACTGATAGAACGTACCGCACAAGAACGACTGAAGCTAACAACTGCATGCTTGGTAGCAGAATATACTGGAAGCTGCGATAATGCGTGCAGACCAGCCACAGACGAAATGTTCACGATAACACCGCCTTTGCCGCCGGTGTCCTTTTGCATCTGTTGTATTCCCAGAAGCGTACCGCGTACCACAGCCGTCTGTGGAAATTGACCTCGATCAACAAATTACAACGACGTATTGTCGCGTAATCTTTACGACCATTTTCCAATCACTCTCGAAGAGTAAAAAAAAAAAATGGCAAACATTTCTGTGAAAAATTTTGTGGGCCATTATAAATGCAGGAAAATTTATAAAAATGATATAACAACTCTATAAAAAATACAAATGTTATATCCTGAAGTATGCTATTTAAAGCAGTATTTATAAATATTTCAGTTGCGTCAAACAGCTTTGCAATTTTATAATTTTTGAACTTTGTTTGCTGAAACTTTCTTTTATTGCTAAAGTCTCCACGGATTTCATGAGAAATAATAAAAAGATAAAAATATGCCACGTTATAGTTTATAATGAAATTCAATGGCAGTTACTTTAACGATAATAACAATGATTTGTGTTTATGTTTTCATTGATAATTACTATGTGCAAGCTAACCTTGACTCTGTATTATTGCTACAATCGCGAATTACAACAAGACTTTGAACAATAATACAATTATTTGGAGAAACGTTTTCGCGTACCACGTTCACGTTAATGGCTTGCGAGAAGTCGCTTTCATTAATCACGCCAGCATTGTTCACTAGAATCTCCAGACTGCCGAGTGTGAGCACAGCTTTCTTGAACGTATCTGTTAAAGAAAAACATGCCAATAATGATTTTGAAGCTGTGCACAAGAAATGTTTCTGTCAAAGTGCTGCTGAAATTTCACAAAAATCTATCTGTACACTGTTGATAGAAAAACGATTTATTCATAATTACCATCGAATTCGGAATTATTTGCTACGTCACACTGGAAGAAAATCGCTCGGTTCTTGCCGAATTCCGCGTTCAACGTGTCCATCGCTTGTTTACCAGCCGATTCGCGAATATCGATCATCGCGATCATCTGAAACCCAATTTCTACGATCGTTGGTGCATTTGGAAATCGAAACAAATTGTGAGAAACGCTGTATATACAGTTTAGAAACTTGAAATTTACTGCACAAATTAACTCGAAGTAATAATTTTCAGTTGTTTACACACTTGGAAACATAATTATTCGGAGCAGATATCAAGCAATTAATGTCAACCCATTGACGTGAATCTTATCTAATTCAGATAAGTTTCTATTTTTTTTTTTTTTTTTTTCTGATCATTAAAAACAACTTATCACTCACGGATGCGCCATTTCGAAGCAATTCCCTGCTAATAGTCAGACCTAGCCCACTCGCGGCTCCAGTCACGATCGCCCTTTTATCCTTGATCTGCATGTTTTCTAATTTTCTTTCTCCTCCGGGATGATCTACGCAAGTGATAAATTGTTAACAACTCTCGTAACAAAAACGACACTTTGCTTTGGAGACGGAGAATAGTGTACAAGGTTTACGATTTTAGACATTTTTGAAATGTTCTTCATTCGCAAAAATTAAAAATTCGCAATTTTTAACTTCACAAGAGACCGTTATTATTTATCTACAAAACATTGTCTCGCAGTAAATTGCAATAAAATTGCTAAAGATAAAGGTGTATTAACACGACATCCTCCGTTAACAATACTCGATCAGTGTCCTTACCGACTGCTAGTACCCAAATGAAAATGGCACCTGTCGGGACCTTTTACCAAAATATTTCCATTCGTTTCAAAATTCTAAGCAATTTACCACTACTCAAATTGTAAAGAAATTGTAAAAAATTCACTATCGAATGACGTTTACCATACACTATTTACTTCTCCAAGAAAGACACCGACTGAACAATTCTGTATTCTAGCTTCTGGTGTCTGTCAGACTCGAAACGTCTCCGAGACCAATTCCGCGTGACATTCACTATCTGATCGTCGATGGAACCCGTTCATTTACGAGTAGATGGAACGTAACACAATTCGATAATAGCGAGTAAAACTCTTTAAACAATTGTCACGAAGACGGGACACAAGAATCGAACGATTAGACTGCTAGCAACGTGTTGGTGGTCACCACTGATGGCCGTTGGTTTCCAGTTGATAATGACGGAAACCTCTCGCCCGTTCGTATCACGATCTTCGACCTCTTGCGTGCGATGTGGTTTCGGATTCGCGGGGACCTGAATCGTCATCTATCTGCGTCGATCCTCCGTTGCAACACGATTCGCCCCTTGATCTCTTGCAGCCGTGTCGAGATCCGCGGTTTCGACGGTCGCGCCGTAACGGAGACACAAGGAACGATTTTGATTCAATATTGAACTATGCATCTTCGATTTTGAGTATTCTTTTCTGTGGAAAACCATCATATTTGCTAAATTCTAAATTGCAGAAAGAATTCAGCAAGTGGAATTGAAATGGTAAATTACTTGAAATCCAGTACCAAATTATATACAATATAAAGTGTAAATTTATTTACACTTATATAGAATTTTCACCCCCCCCAAATGTTGAAATAGGAGAACTAATATCCAATTTACTGCGAAGAATGACTATCTTCGATTTTGAGTATTCGTTTCTGTGGAAAACTATCATATTTGCTAAATTCTAAATTGCAGGAAGAATTCAGCAAGTGGAATTGAAATGGTAAATTACATGAAATCCAGTACCAAATTATATACAATATAAAGTGTAAATTTATTTAAAGCATATATTACTCTGTAATAATAGAATTTTCACCCCCCCCCCCAATTGTTGAAATAGGAGAACTAATATCTAATTTACTACGAATAATGACTATCTTCGATTTTGAGTATTCGTTTCTGTGGAAAACTATCATATTTGCTAAATTCTAAATTGCAGAAAGAATTCAGCAAGTGGAATTGAAATGGTAAATTAGTTGAAATCTTACAAAAATTACACTATAATAATAGAATTTTCAACACCCTTCCGCTGACCAATTTCTTTTCATCCCAATGTTGAAATAGGCGAACTAGTATGCAATTTACTCTGAATAATGACTATCTTTGGTTCTGAGTATGTACTTGTTTTTTGTGGAATTTATTATTCGTGGTAAATTGGATATTAGTTTCTTTATTTCACCATTGTATTGTTTCAATTTTATATTTTGTAAGTAATTTGGTAATGGATTTAAGTAATGTTCTGTTTTTTTATTAGATTTGCTGAAGTCTTTTTGAAGTCCACAGGCAGTGTTCTTTTATTAGAAATGGAAAATATGATAGTTAAGACTGAAATCTGACTGAAATTTTGTATCTATTAACTAGGAAATGAATTTTTTATTTAATCAGTGAGTCCATTTAAAATTATCGTTTGAGATGGTATCTAGGCCTTTAAGATATAAAGTGATTATCATCACTCCTTAAATCGTCTACTCACAATGACGATGCAATGTTTTCAGCACATTGTGTTCTTTTCGAAATTGTATTTAACTTAACAATATTGGAAAATTTACTGATGTGTTGAGAAGAATTTTACATTTTACAATAGATCAATATAACTTATTCACTTTAAATGTCTGACTTCAAAAAACGTTCCTACTGTACACGAATATGGTTATTAACAATGGAATATTGTCCTTAAGTAATGTTTGTAGGTTCGAAAGAAATGGCAATTGTGTCTAAAAAAGTAATTTATTACGAAACAATCCATGATCAACACGGTTTTCATAAATTCTAGAGTTTCTTACAATCGTAATTACAAATAACGAAGAAGTATTTTTACAGGTTGAGTTGTACCTTCTTGATAGGAGGGATTTCGATAGCGACTGGTGGTTTATCGTTCTCGCTGAGCCAGATTGCTCCATTCTCACCTTTCTGGATGAGAGTGACCATTGCTTTTCCACAGTTGTCGGGTCTGATGAAATGAACATAAAAAATAAATTAAAAATACACTATTTCACGTGGTCATATGATATCACAGTCGGTCATGGGGTGGTTCCTCTTGCAGAAATAAACCAGAAATGTATACCGAATTTTTCTTCGTATTCAAAGCACGTCTTATCGACTGGCAGATGTATTCATTAATTTTTTTAAATATTCACTATATGTTTCCAACATCTTTTTGCATTAAGAATCAGTCTACGACCGGGTCTGCCATCACTTCGACCACATCTTATGTACGATTCCATCGAAAAGATTAGTGTTAATATCGTTTAAAATACAGAGTGTCCCCAAAATTTCAAAAATAAGTCGAAAAGAAAAACTAACATTTTTTCATTTAAGGCCTCGTTCTCGAGATAATCGAATTAGAAAACCTGCTGGATACCCGTGCAATTGAATAGGACTTGGCCAACGCGTCTGTTCATTGCATTCCATTTCTACTTCCTACCATGTCGAGTACACGCGTTTCAGATTAATCTTCAAATTCCATTTTCTCGAAAAATGAAATTTCAAACAGGAAAAGTTTATTCTATTTTTTCTTATAGAATCGCCACCTGACCGGTTGTACCACGATTTTGGGAACAAATTGTATTAATAAATATTACAGAATTTACTTTTTTCGTATTCCGTTGATGCGAAAATTACAATATAAAATAAATTGTTTTTACGGTTACATCAGGAATGTTTCTTCCCACTAACGTTAGATAATTTTAGGAATGGAGTAATGAGAATGAACTTGTATTGCCATACTATGGTTTGATATATTAGCACATGGGAAAAAAGAAAATTAGGTTCAATATCTATTAATATTAATTTCGAAATAATTATGAATTAACAAGCAAGCTGTTCGTTACTCACGATTGAGGGACACTGGAACCAAGGAAATTCATCAACCCCTCTTTGTCGATGAATTCGAAGGCCTTCTTGTCGACGTCCAGGAGCATTGGTGTTCCTGTGACGCCGGGGCACAATATGAGAACACGGACGCCGGTTCTCTCGAAGTTACCCTAAAACGATTATAACACATAAATATTCAAATCAGTATTTTAGTATTTTCCTGTAGAAATTCGTAGAATTTTCCTACGTATGTTGTATTTCATTTAAAAGAAAAATATAATTGATAGTGAATCAGTAGCTTGAAATATTATTCAAGTGAACTCTATGTAGATCGTTATGGGTATATTTCATTAGATGTTGCGATTTTATTGTTTGAATTTACCTCCAAACAGCGACTGAACGCAAGCACCTGGTGCTTGCTGGAACAATATACTGGGCAGACGGAGAAGTATTCGAGACTCAGGAACGACGCGATGTTTACCAGAATACCACCTTTGCCCCCTTTGTGTTTACCCATGTGCTCTATGGCGAGCAAAGATCCTTGGATCACGGCACCCTGGAATTGTGTATTATATGAATTATCATAATTCGATTTACTCGATTGAACATAAAGCACAAAACATTAAAATGCAACAGTTCCTGTTCATGTGCATATTCTAATTTCTATTTGCATTAATATTTTTTTGTTGCTCCCAGAATTACTTGGTTTTTGTCTGTATTCTGATTATGATCGATGAAAAAATTCATATATTCATGAAGTAATTCGCAAGAAATACGATATTCAAATTTCTTCTGCACAAATACATTTAATACGGCTATTAAGAGCTCAATTAGCGAGTATGTACTTTTATGAGGCGCTTTGTGTTATTTCAATTGCATCGTCGCTCATCAGTTTGTAATTTCCTGTTCTTGTTTTAGTTTACTGTATGATTTTTTACATTAGCATTATGTTATAATTAGAAAATTGACACATAAGTGTGTTATACTCACAATGTTTACGTTAACCGTTTGCTCCCATAACAGGTCATTTAAGACGCCAGCATTGTTGATGACAATGTCGACGCCGTTCATAGTGTTTATAGCCTTCTTGAAGGTTTCTGTCACACAATAAATGTCAGATAAGAAAGTCGCCTAATATTGCTGTTACACATTTAAATACATGTGTTTCTCAATTCAAATTATTGAATTTTAAAAACTTAGAACAGCTTCAGTGAACAATATTGATAGATGAATTATTATTCAAATTTCTTACAATACATGGTATATTTCACAAATAAATTTTAAAGATAAACTTATAGATTTGATCTAGTTTATAGATTCAATTATCTAGAATTAAATGAATAGGCACGATTTTATCAGTTGCGTAACATACAGTGAGATAAACTCGAATCCCGTTATCACGATAGAAAAAATAGTAATTGCACTTCGTTAAATGTGCAAACATTGTGACAATCAATCTGTGAAGTAAGTACGGAAATGTCCAGAAGAAAATTCGATCAACATATTTTCGATAGTTTCCACAGAAGTGAAGTATAGTCTGTTTGTTATTAAAATTCAGTCCATTTTTTTAAGTTTAATTAAGAAGGTGTATAAAATACCTGCGAATTCTTTAACGTTAGACACATCACAAGGGTAGAACGTGGCTTTGCCTTTTCCAAATTCTTTCTCCAAATTGGCAGCAGTCGTCTGACCAGGCGATGTCTTCAAGTCAAGAATGGAGACAGTCTAAAAAGAAAAATAAAGATTTTCTCCGAGAAACTGTTAAAGTTTAAAGAAACCAAAGTTCTTGTTTTTATTCAGAATCACTGTGACTTGAATCATTCTACATAAAATCTTCATTAGTTTACGATCTATCAAAACTAACGACAAGCACATGCTTTATTACCTTCACGATAGTTAAACTTTTTCATTACCTTTAGATTAGATGAACGAGGTAATATATTTAAATTACAGACTTTTTTACTGTATTTTTCCTTCTTATTTCATATACAATATTACGACTGACATGTTTCATCTCAATTTAATTTATTCTTTAGACTGGATAACTGATTTTAAATTTTAAATACAGTAAGTGAAATAATACCTTAGCTCCATTTTTCAACAAGTTCTGAGTGTAGCACAAGCCAATACCACCAGCGGCGCCGGTGATCAAAACGTTCTTGTCTTTTATGTGATCCATAATCTGTAATCGAATTGTAAAGATGCGTTTGATTTAATAATATTTGAAAAGAAACGTTTTCTATCGCACAATGATTTGCTACATTTGTTAGTCACGCAATCGTATCTGGTTTTATGGTGGGGAAATTATTCAAACAATTAATTAGTTGCACTGTTGCAAGATTGATTTATTGCACAAGTGCCGACGCGTTGACAATCTACGTAACCGCTAATTATGTAAACTAGAGGCGTATCATTATACCAGAAAATCATTTCGAAGCTTATTTAAATTTTAAAATATGAAATCATTAAATTTAAAATTTATGTTTGGTGTACGTTTGTTATTTACGTGAAAAAAAGATTTTACTTTGTTAAACGTATATCTGATTTTTTTTTTTAAATTCCAGTTACCTTAAAAGATTTTAATAATAATTACATGTTTAGTTCACTGCAAACATTTTCGAAAGGACATCTTCAATATTACGAAAAATCACGCTTTAGAATGTAATTTTTAAAGGTACGATCGTTTTATACGAAACCAACTAATTAATAGCTACTGATATTAATTTCGAGTGTAATGTGACAGAAAAGGTATCGAAGATTATGATCCACTTATTTGATACACTCGATTGATCGTATGATTAGTAGGATGATGTAGTGTATTATGAGAGATATAACGTCGCTATTCTATCACTATATTTCTACAGTGAAAAATTCTGAGATTATTTCTATAATTATTATAATTAATAATGCATAAATACTGGAAGAATTATTTCCAACACAAGCTAGTAGAAAAGTCGAGTTTGACAAAAAATGACCGTGTTCAATATTTGCCTTGAACATATTGGATACCTACTAAATATCTCATAATTTAGTATAAATTTTTAATGATTTTCGAGATTTCCAAATCAAAGAAAAGTACTAAATTCATGCATAATGAGTTATTTAACAGACTTGAAAATTTTTCTCCTTGTCCTGATTTAATTTTTCATCATAATATTATTTTTTATTTCCTCTGATATTTTTATTACATAAAAATTAAATTAATTTTTAATTTGAAAAATACATTTCAGAAATATTTACATACTTTGCCGTTCTGACACGTATAATAATAACTAATATAATCTGTCACTAATTTAATATAATCCTGTACAGGCGAAGAATTATCGCCAGGTGTTACTATTTTTAAAAACGTTGTACCTTGATGAATTTTTTCAAACCGAATAAACTTGAGAGAATAAATTTCTAATAGTCACCGTTTTAGTAGCTGTCCCCTTCGACCGTTTGATCTGCACTGAACGATGTTAACTTGTCGAATGATGTGGTGCGTTCTAGCTCCAGCAAAGTCAAAGCGAATATACGTGTGTACGTGCCTAGATTAACTAGCAGATCTCACATAGCAACATTGTAGGCACAGTGTAGGCAGTCACGATGAATTATCGAGTGTCTCGTTTCATGATAAAAGTAGTTTTACAGCAAATGCCTTCAGCCAAGTGTTTTTAACATATCTGGTTATGCAACGTGCTTACAGAACATTAAAAACGTGTTCATCGTCGGATCCATGTTTTTTTCATACACTGACTAAGTAGCACTGCTACTTCTCTGGCATTAATTTGTGTGCATAATGACATCATAATCTCGCGTGAATAATAACACGAGTTTTACACGTTGCACTATCCTAAGTGATTTTCGGAATTTGTAAGTTACTATCAGACTAATATCTTAATTTTGGTATTATGCACTTTTGAAAATGACTAAATATACAGGGTGTTTCGCTTAAAACAGACCACCTAAATATCTCGTCTATCTGTGATCATACGAGAAATATTTTTTACGTAGTTTAAATTGTTTCAAGAGACGAATTAGATGGTGGAAAAAATTATGTAAGTGAATTTAAACATTTTAGAGTTCCAGGTCATTTCAAGGTCATACTATTGTCCATGGATAAATACACAATTAATGTTCGCTATAACATACACCAGGAAAAATTATGCGCATATACTTAAAAAAAAAACTTGTGTGACCTTTAAAAAATGACACAGGATTTTAAACTTATAAAAATGGTTTTAATCGGAACACTCTGTATATTATTATTAGACTGCGGATTTTTACGCAGAATTGCATTTACCAACGTACATAATCCATAAAGAGCAAATATAGAAATTTCTTTCTTCTCTTAAGTATTTTATTGGATTTAAATGCATAAAATTCGCAGTCTAATTATAATGAGTCAGGTGTGAAACATAGTAACATCTACTCTGAATGTTAATAGATTCATGACCAACGCATTATTACAAGTCGATCTCCAATAGCCAACAATGTTTACGTCCTGGTTGTACGTGACCTTGAAAATGTTCATTTAAGAGAAACTAAAATTATGAAATATTTGTCCTACTTTCATCTACGGTTCAAACAGTGTTACTGAGGATGGAAAGTAGCGTCCAGGGGTCACGATCTTTCTCGTGATATGGGAATAACGAATCCAAAATCCAAGTCACCCGAGTGAAAGCGACATTGGAATCCAAAAAGTGGAATTTTCTGTCAGCTTCAGATACGTTTGCTTTTGAATTACAACTGATTGAAGACCTTGCAGTTAAAAGGTTTTTTGTAAAAACATTTTCATTTTTACCAACTTCAAGTAAATGAGAAAAAACCGTTTATAAAATTATTGCTTTGACTTAAGATTAAAAAAAGACCACTAATTGCAAAACATATATTTTCACACAATAAACAGTAATTATTGAGTTGCTAAATTTTTGTTTCTATTTTTGATGAATTTTTTAAATCTGTAGTTGCACCCGATTTTCAAAACTGTAATGGATGGAGGTACAAAATTTGCAATAAATCGTTCATTTGTTGTCGTATTTGCATAACACGTGCACCAAATGATGTAGATTTTTTTTACGTATATTAGACGTCATAACTAAAAAACTGTCAAAAAATGGAGCTGCATCCTTTGGGCTGCAAGGTTCTCAATTACAGACGTTGCACATTGAAAACAATGAAACGAAATGAGGAACAGCTATAGGTCGCACTTCATTCGAATGCAGACACGTCTTGCGTTTATAGAAAATTCTACTTTAAGGTGTAAAGCATCGCGGAGACAAAATGAACGGCCATAAGAAGCCGCGGTATAAATTACGTGGTTGAAAAGCTTTGCTGAATAATCAAATCTTCAAATCCTGGCATAAATGGAATTTCGGTACCATTCGTGCTACTTCAAAGTAAATTCTACTTCTGCAACGGTATTGGAGAATTTACTAAAGTTCTATGGTCTTCCTTTTCATGGAAATTCTCCACGGTTCCAACTACTTAAGAGGAAACTTGGAAGCATTCATCATTTAACATTTTCGTGAAACATACGAAGGCTTTGAAAGGAACATTACATTTTACTTTAACGTTCCTATCTGTGCGCTGGTTTGAAAGTAATGAAAACTATTGTAAAAAAAGCAATTTATTAAGAAATCGTCAAAGAATCACCACAGTTTTGGTAAATTCTCAGGTTTCTTACAATCACAATTTTGAACTTCGAATGACGAAGAAGTGTTTTTACAGGTTGAGTTGCACCCTCTTGACTGCAGGGATTTCAACACCGACTGGTGGTTGTTCGCCCTCGCTGACCCAGATGGCTCCATTCTCGCCTTTCTGGATGAGAGTTACCATCGCGTTTGCCACGTTCTGGGGCCTAACGGAATGAACACAAAAAATTCATTTTGACCATTTTACCGTCGGACATGGGGTGGTTCTTCTTGCAGAAACAAATCGGAAACATACAGTTAACTTTTTTATTCGAAGCACGCCTTATGGAATAACAGGTGCGTTTGGTAATTTTTAAAATTTCATTTCCTCGAAAACGATGTTTTGAATTGAAAAGAAACATCGCTGTATGTTTTTCCAATATCTTTTTGCGTTAAAAATCAACCTACGATCTGTTTACGTAGAACATGTTCTGCGGACAGACTCTATGTGTACTTCTATACAAAAACATAGAGGATAATGTCATTTAACCTCCAAATGCCAAAGGGTTATTTTGAACCAGTTACAGAAATCGTCGTGTTCCTTGTTCAAAAGTACTCTTCAAATCTTTATGCGTATATATAACTATACCTCATCCGACGAGACGAGTCAATATGTTTAAACAAAGGGAAATAATAACTAGTCTGTGGATCTTTATGCAAAATGACATTTTAGAAAGTAATTTACAGATTAGATTAAAAACAGAAATTGCTTTTTCCTTTTAAGTATCTGATGAAGTTGAAAATAAAATAATAAACTCTCATTGCATTTTACAGAGTCCTATGAACTATAAAGGCATAAAATCCGCAGTCTAATGATGACCATTTAGGTGGGATAGTTGCCAGTCAATATTTGGACTCGCGAATATTTTCGTTATTTCTACTAACTCGTCTTGTTGGACCGACCATAGGTAGCAATACATAAAAATCATCTACACATAAGAAAATATATTTAAAATTTTGTGCAAAATTTATCCTTCAATCATGCATAGAATGAAATTTAGTTATTAGTAAAAATGGCCCTGCATAAGTCCCAGAACATCCGTCATTCGAGGGTTGAAATGTTCATATTAAGTTCGAAATAATTGTACATTTACAAGCAAATGATTTCTATACTCACGATTGAGAGGGAAGGGTTTCCATGAACTCCCTCAAGGTCTTCTGATCGGTGAAGTCGAAGACCTTTTTGTTCATGTCGACGAGCAAGTTAGTGTCCGTGACGCCTGGACACAACACGAGAACGCGGACACCAGTGGTCTCGAAGTTACCCTAAAACAATTATAACCTATAAATCCTTGAATCGATTGTTCGGATAATATACTCGGTATTTTAAGATTTTTCCATGGACACACGTAGAATTTTACTATGTATGCCTGTACTTGATTAAGAATATATAAAAGGGAAACGATAATTTGAAGTATTATTGATCAGAAATGAACTGTCTGTAGATCGATGAGGGATTATTTCAGTAGAGATTGCGATTTTGTAATTTGAATTTACCTCCAAACAGCGACTGAATGCAAGCACCTCGTGCTTGCTGGCACAGTATACTGGGCACATGGGTGTGTAGACGAGACTCAAGATCGACCCAATGTTCACGAGGATACCGCCTTTGCCACCTTTGTGCTTGCCCATGTGCTCCATGGCGAGCAAGGATCCTTGGATCACGGCACCCTAGAATTGTGTATTTTATGAATTATAATAATTCGATTTTAAGTTTTATTTATTCGGGTGAACACAATGTTCGAGACACTAAAATGTTACATATTTTATTAATATGTATTAATATTTGTGTTGACATTTTTATATTGTTTTCAGAATTACTTAATATTTTTCTTTATTACAATTGTAATGTGGGTGTTGGTTGTGGTTAGTTTCATGAAGTAACTTGTAGGAAATACAATTATACAAATCTATAATTAAACAATGAAGACCTTTACTAAATAGGGTAAGGGTTAAATGAAAATTGTATTAAACCGTCTGGAAATTTTCATATCACTGTATCGTATACAGTTCCTTGTGTTATAATAGACTGCGGATTTTATGCATTTATCGTAAATGTGAATGTACAAAACACAACACAGTAAAAATTTTCGTAAAGGGCAGTAAAAATTTTACTTTACTGTAGACCTAACGGAATCTTTAATAAAGGAAAAAATCTGTGACATAATTTCAAGTCAGTAAATTAATGCATAAAAATCTGTATTTGCATAAAAATTCGCAGTCTAGTAATATACATATGTTCAAAATTGTTGATCTAAGTGTTACTAGGGAAATAACACAGTACTTGAAAACAACCATCGTTCGCAATTGTTCTTTTCACATGTTCAAACCGTTCGCTGAGTTTTGAAAATTAGTGTTTGAATCTTCGTTTGTGAAAAAGCTATAATATTTGTTTCTTATATTCCATGAACTATCGACTGTCCAGGGTCACGTAATTCCTAACAATTTGTGTTTTTTACCAATAACATGGTCAATGACTTCGCTAGAAAACTGTAGCTCACGAGGTTAAATACGCGACGAAAAATATTTCGCTCATTAATTCAATCAGGTCAAAAATGTTGTATTATGTATTCTACTTTTCTTTATTCGTTTTATCTTCAAATTGTTTCCTTGATCTGTTTATCTGATTTGTTTCATCGAATTCGCTTATCACTCATTAGAATGACGTTTTCGTTACTTTTTTTAGATTTGTAGCAGAGTTGGGCAAAATGTAATCCAATTACAAAATCTAAATTGCAATGTAACTGTAACACAATTACAGTATAATTGTAATTAATTATTATATTAAATTTACAATAAACAATAACAATGTAATTTTAATTGTCCTGTAATTACTTTGCAATTACATTGTAATTAACTATACTAAATTTACAATAAAAAGTACAATGGAATTGTAATTGTAACCGTCTCGCAATTACATTGTAATTGCAATTTAGATTTTGTAATTAGATTACAGTTTCTCCAACTGAGATTTATAGTATCATTATGTTACAATTAGGAAACTGAATACATAAATGTATTGTACTTACTATGTTTATGCGAACGGTTTGTTCCCATAACAGGTCATTGAAGATACCAGCATTGTTGATGACAATGTCGACGCCGTTCATAGCGTTTATGGCCTTCTTGAACATTTCTACGACAAAGAATAATAAATTTCAGAAAAGAATCTTACCTAATATCGTTGTTACATATTCACGTTTATATTTTTCAATTTAATTATCGAATTCGGAAAACTTAGAACAGCTACAATTTTAAAAGATGAATTATCATTCTATTTCTGATTCTTACAATACATGGTACGTTTTCGACATAATTCCAAAGATACTTCTGCGAGACTCAGTTATCATAACACAGATTACTATTATTAATTCATTTTGGCAAGCTTATCAATGAACAAGGTTATCGTTTGCGTGGCAAATAGTCAGATAAAGTTGACCCCTGTCATGGTGATGGCAAAAAACTAAATGCACCTTTTTAAACACACAGTTGTGCTAACTTATTAGTGAAATACTTAGGGGAATGTGTATTAGAAAAATGGATCGATATATTTTCGATACTTTGTATATAAGTAAAGTCGATTTATTTTTTTAATTTTTGTCATTGAGATCGATTTTATTTTTTTTAATTTTAGTCAAGAAGGTAATAAAGTACCTGCGAATTGGTCAACGTTAGACACGTCACAGGCGAAGAACATGGCTTTTCCCTTTCCAAATTCTTTCTCCAAATTAAGAACGGACGTCTGACCAATCGATGTCTTCAAGTCGAGAATGGCGACAGTCTGAAAATAAAACCAAAGATTACCTTAAGAAAAATTAAACTATTGAATGTAAAAGAAAGAAGAAAAAGGAAACCAAAGCTTTTATTTTTATTCAAGGTCACCGTAACTGGAATTATTTGACATAAAATCTTCATTGCATTACGATTGGTCGAAACTAACGATAGGCAAATCTTCAAGATAGTTAAACATTTCCATTACCTTTAGATTTGATAAACAATTCTATATTTCGGTTATAGATATTTCTTCCCTATATTTTTCTTATTTCATATAAAATATTGTTTCATTTTTTATAATCCTGATATTTATACATCACGATTGTCATGTCGCATCTCATTTTAATTTGTTCTTCAGACTGTGTAACTGCTTTGAGGTTTAATAAAAATAATCAAGGTAATACCTTAGCTCCATTTTTCAGCATGTTCTGGGCATAGGCTAAGCCAATACCGCTGGCGGCACCGGTGATCAAAATGTTCTTGTTCTTGATGTGATCCATGGTCTGAAATCGAATTGTAAAGATACGTCTGATTTAGTAATGATCGGTGAAAAGAAATCCACGATGACAGGTTGTGTTAGCCACACACTTCGGTGTGGTTTCATAATACGAAAATTATTACCATTATTGTGGAAAATATCCACGTGACGACTGTCTACTGTGAAAACTAGCTGCATGTCATTTCACCATAAAATAATTTAAAGCTTTTTGTAACACAGATGGAACGGAATAAGTATAATTATTAAATGTTAATACTTGAGTTTTGTATACAATTTTTATAGTCGTGAAGGGAACGTCTTATATTATTAAAGATGCATCTGTTTCTCACGAAATTTTTGTTACCTTAGAACATTTTAATGACAATTCCATTTAGCATCTGTTTCTCACGAAATTTTTGTTACCTTAGAACATTTTAATGACAATTCCATTTAGTCCACATAATTTTTAAATATACGATCATTTAAAATGAAGACAACTAACATGAGAAATGGAAGGAAGCCTTCAAAGAAACTTTAAAATAAGTAAATATTGAATTTCTTCAATTCAAAACAGAAGCTACCAAATTAATGCTGAATCTTAACTATTTGCATGAGACTGAAAATAAGTGCGCTGTTCTTGTGAATTGTTTAACAGACTCGCAAATTTTTCTCTTTGTTCTCATTTCATTTTTTTTCAGAATGTTTCTGAAACTTGTTTTAACTTATACTATATACATTTCACATTAAAAAATAACCAACTTCCACAAAATAATTGTAAAAATTCTACACACGTTGCTATTCTGACGGATTTAATAGTAATATTAATATGTTCCAGTAACCATTTATCTCCAATTAATTTAATATAACCCTGTATAGGCGATGAAGTACCGTTAGGTATTACCATTTTCGAAAAAATATCCTGTGAAAAAGTAGTACCATTTTTTCAAAAATTATATTATGTATTACATATGTATAAAATTATAGTTAGATATTACCTTTTCTTCAAAAATGGTAATTACTTCATTAAATGGTACTTTTCATTAACCTGTGTGCACCAGAATAAGAAATGGTCCATACCACACAAACAAATTTTATCCACACATTATTCATTTTAACACAAAAGAATGTAGAAAAATCAAACAGAAATATTTATTTCACAAAAACTCACAAGATATTTACAGGAAAAATCTAGTAAGAAGAATTTTTTAATCACTTTATGTAGTATGGTAATATTTGACGCACCGGATATTACGCTGATCGGTGGAAATGCGTTACCATTTTTTGAAAAAATGGAATTACTTCATAAAAGAAACGTCTTCTTGAATTTGTTAACCTTAAAATATTTAAAGTAATGAAACTGTAATAGTCACCGTTTCAGTAGCTGTCCCTTTCGGCTAGTCGATCTAAACTGGTTGGTGCGGATTCGAAGAATGAGCCGTTCGTCCTGATGCCGGGGAAATTAAAAAGAATGCGTATCTACGTAGATTAGTTAGTCAACATATGTATATCTGACATGATAATATTATTGATATAATGTGCACAGATACGACGAATTGCGGAACTTCGGTTTTTTTTTTGGATGCAGAGACATGATCCGATAAGTAATTTCAGCAAAGACTTTTTTGGTAAAAGCGGTTACGCAACGAACTTACAAAATAAACATACAAAACGTGTTTATTTTCGGAACCGTCTTTTTAATGCATTGTGTCGTAGGCATTACTGATATCATAATTAATCTTAAACGATAACACGAATTACAGACGTTACGCGTTCAAATCAGTGTTAACATTTATAAGTATAATTATAACAATATTTACTTTCACGATTAATTTAACAAAAACAGAAATTATCAAATATTTATGCTATTTTCGGACGTCATAGTTTCGCTGGTGAGAATCTAAAAATAGGTTTCCTTTCGAATCTATTAACTTTATATATAAATAGGTCTAAATATTTTGAACAAGATGGCGAATATGAAATTGGAAACAAGCATAACTGCATTATAGGATATATCGCAAACTTCTGTCTGTGTATAGGGGTGCAAATACAACCCCAGGCCAATAGAAAAACGTAATTCAAATGTCCCGAATAGAAGATTTACAAAGATTTCTCGAGAATGTTATCTGTGATATGTTTCACGCGCAATTTGAAGAGAATGTCTATCTTATTAAAAATCAATAACACTTCATAAATATCTGCGCAGCCTAGGTTTTCTCTTTACATTTTTCACTAAAAATGCATAGAGTGTAATTACAGCCCTGTACACGATTAACGTTAATGTATTTCTACACAGAGAGAAGGTTAAAAACAGATGAAAACAAAATGGCGACGTGACGGGTTTCTCGAATGTTTTCTGTATAAAACCAGGCCATATTAACAAAGCTTTATCAGCCGTGCCTGGGTTCTTTCGTCGTCCTTGAATCACGAAAGGTCTTAAAGTCACTAAAAAATTTGAAATAAAACTTAAGTATTACATTAATATTAAATTGATAGGGGAGGAAAGTTTAATTAGTAACCGGTGGACTGCGGATTTTATAACCTATAAAACGCCCTGAAATACAATAAAAGGAAAAACTTTAGGTGCAACGATTTTTCTGTTTCATTCTGAACCCAATAAGATATCTAACACGTTCGCTGCCATTAGAAAATCGCGAGGGACGTGTTATTTACCATTAATTCATATTAACCCTTTGCGGTCGTTTTAAGTTTATACATAGGTGTCATGCTGGTCGGAATTAATTTTCGTTGAACGAACAGTAATACATAATAAGCAAGATTATGAAGGAAATACAAAATTTATTAATTCTTTTTTAAACTTTAGATATATGTAACACAATAATATGTTTTAATTTTATGTAAAAATTATATTTTATAGTTCTCTTTTGGTGGTTGAGAGTAGACATACGACCGCAAAGGGTTAATAATTCTCATTCACAAACGTACACGTCGTCTCCACGTTCAAGGGAGCCTTTTTATTATTTTAATTATATTCAAAGTTCAACTTTAATGTTGCACGACCCAAGGTAGAAACACATTAACATCACGTAAAATCACATGCTATTTTGTAATACCTGCTGGAATAACTATAAAACCACCGTAAAATTTTCAATTCTTATGTATTATTGTTAAAATAAAAACGAACCAAGTATTCCATGCCTGAAATCGCGTTGAAAAATAATGTTACTCCAGAAGAGGATAGATTATATTCCCTAGAAAAAAGATGGTTCGTTTTTATTTTAACCACAATCTATATACAGGGCGTTCGCGATAATTTGTACCATCGTTTTTTTCGTAAACGGTAAACATTAGAAAAAAACCGAAGAGGAGGACGTTGTAGTATATTTTACTAGTAATATAATAGCGTATCTATAGTTTTTGTGTTGTTAATATTTTTCTAGAAACAAAGGTGGTCTTAATTTTTTTAAATGGAATGCTACATATTTTTTTAAATTTACATTTGCGCATGTATTTATAAATTCTTTTAGAAAATATTATTTTGCATAAAAATCCGCAGTCTATTAATTACTGTAGAAAAATCTTATTTTGCATAAAAATCGGCAGTCTAGTAATAAGAAATGTTTTATATCGTTGGCTGCTCTTCAATTGGGACCTTCAATGTCGCGTAACTAGGCACTTCGACGGCGTACGGTGGTTGGTTGTTCTCGCTGACGAAAATCTCCCCGTTTTTCCCTTTCTCGATCAGTTGAATAATGGCGCTCGCCACGTGTTCTGGGCTGTTAACAAATGTTCCGTCGACAATCACAATCGTCATTATCAAATCGAAAGTTACGCGGTTAGCATTTACAAACGTATCCAGTCGAATTATCTGTTTATGTACTTTTACGCGTTATCACTTTCGAGCTCAAATTCTCGTAATCAGTGCCTTGGTAGGAGGTGTACAAAAATTTAAATATTTCGGTGGGAGCCAAAGCTACTCCAAAATCACGAGTTAACCAATTCGGTCGATTCTAAATGATTTCAATTCGTTCAGACAATTAATTGTGATTCCTTTCGATTGTAATTTTAATAGATAGCTTCGTGTAACTTGAATTCGATATAGATTTTTTTAATGCCTCTGTTAACCCTTTCGATGTTTATGTCGAGCATACTCGTCATGAAAAGATGGTATTTTTTTGTTTAATGACGAGTATACTTACTATTAAACGAAAAAATTTGCATTTGCTATTTGAAGTAAAATTAAGGTAAAACAAAAAATATATTCGTAATTTTAACAATTTTTAGAATATTTAATAAAATCACTTGAGAAAAGAAATATCCAGCAGTACTTTTTACTTTTTTTTACTTTTTTCACAACAGATGGTGCTCAGGTCGCAAGAGTACTTTTATCATTTTATTAGAATTGATTTTAATTTTACAGCAACTAAATTATTAGTTGCATATTACTGCATTTACTATATTTATTCTGTTTTTGTGGTGTACAGGTACTCGTTATTGCTTAAAAATAATTCAACACGTAAGTGCATATTTTCAAAATGAACTAAAATACTGAAAAGGATAAAGGATCTTTTGCTTACGGTTGCTTTTGCATGGCAGCCATCGCGATAGCCGCGGTCTCCTCGTCGAGGAGGTCCATGGCGTGTTCTTTGGTGGACATGAATCTTGCGGCCATGGCTGTGGTCGTCAGGCCAGGGCATATCGTCAACATACGTATACCAGTTTTATCGTAATAATGCTGTCGAATAACATAATACAGGTATAAATTCAGATAAAAAATGAATAACATGAATAAGATGTCTATATCAAATCGCGAAACAAGTATATTATATTAGTTCGAAACCCTTCTCAGTTTTAGGAAATGTACATTTTAATAACAATTACAATCTTTTTATTCATTTATCGTAAGTCAATGGTTAACCCTTTCATTTCTAAATTATTTAACAATTACCAGATGAATATTTTGTTGTATTTGTGTGTCTACTATATGACATATAAATGATTCACAAGAACATTTTAATATTTTGAAAGCCTTCTAATATTGTTTTGTTTTTAATACTTTTTTACTTTTATTACAGTTATACATACCAATTCCCATTATAATGTTATTATACATAACAAAACCTCATTTTTCTTGCCGTTGATCAATAATCCCTCTTGAAATATTTGAAAGAATTTACAGTTTTTGTTAGTTTCTATTGTATTTATAACAATGCTCACACCTGAATTTCATCAAATGAATAAGACAGAGGACAAATAATGTCTTATTTTACCGATAAACTTTTAAACGCACATTCAAATGTGTACCACATCGTCTATACAAGACTAGAATAAACTATTATATACTCACAGATATAAAAAAATACATGATACTAATATTTTATTTCGTAATTGAAAATACGTAGCCGTATGACAACAGTGGAAACGAAAAGTATAATTATCATATCACGGCGACAACTCTAATCAGTTTTATTAATTTCACGTATCTCGTATTTACATGTTTGCGTCCACGTTTCACGAGATCTTCAATAAATTCTCGTTTCTTTTTTACCTTCAACGACTGAGTAAAACCAACGATCGCGTATTGCGTTCCACCGTAGATCGGGGCTATGGGAATTCCTTCGAGGCCAGCCACGGAGGACATGTTTACGATCGTTCCTCCATTCCCGCCCTTATATTTGCCCATTGCGTGCAGTCCCAAAATTGTACCATGAACTATACCCTTCTGTTACGAGACATAAAGAAGTACTACTGTACGAGAGTAAAATTTTCAATTCTTATGTATTGTTGTTAAAATAAAAACGAACCAAGTATTCCATGCCTGAAATCGCGTTGAAAAATAATGTTACTCCAGAAGAGGATAGATTGTATTCCCTAGAAAAAAAGGGGTTCGTTTTTATTTTTAACCACAATCCATATACAGGGCGTTCGCGATAATTTGTACCATCGTTTTTTTCGTAAATGGTAAACATTAGAGAAAAACCGAAGAGGAGGACGTTGTAGTATATTTTACTAGTAATATGACAGCGTATCTATATGTTTTGTATTTTTAATATTTTTCAAAATTGTAGCATGAACTATACCCTTCTGTTACGAGACATAAAGAAGTACTACTGTACGAGAGTAAAATTTTCAATTCTTATGTATTGTTGTTAAAATAAAAACGAACCAAGTATTCCATGCCTGAAATCGCGTTGAAAAATAATGTTACTCCAGAAGAGGATAGATTGTATTCCCTAGAAAAAAAGGGGTTCGTTTTTATTTTTAACCACAATCCATATACAGGGCGTTCGCGATAATTTGTACCATCGATTTTTTTCGTAAATGGTAAACATTAGAGAAAAACCGAAGAGGAGAATTAGTTTTTGTATTTTTAATATTTTTCAAAATTGTACCATGAACTATACCCTTCCGTTACGAGACATAAAGAAAACATATTCATAAAGAATCTGCATAATCGCAAGTACGGTAATCTGCGAAATGAGGGATAAAAAGAAAAAGAATTTCTGCGTGGACTGACAAGTATAGATAAGTAAGTTTCTCTTTCTTTTTAGTTGTGTTTGTTGTTTACAATTTTTTAGGGGTTCTAGATTGTATAATATACGAGATAACGCAGCTTACGTAATTGACGTCCACCATAATTTCCCAATCCGCATCGTCCATGATTCCAGCGATGTTTACGACAATGTCCAGGGTCTCGTATGTCTCGATAACTTTATTGAAAGATTCTGTACGGACAGTAATAGCGTTGATTGATAGCTAGAAAGCTCAAATGCCATTTCTTGGTAGTACGGTTACGTAACACAATGAGATATAAATAATACGTCGGTCATATTTTCGTTCAATATCCACGTTTATTTTTCTAATTTCAGAGAGATGCATAAGAATAATGCGTTGTTATAGGATTCTTCGATCATAGTGACTTGAATTTATTGTTTAGATTTACGCCCACTGGGAGGTGATAATGGAACAAAGGCATCGAATGTTCACTTTTTTTTATGGAATGTTGTTTAATGCTACCAAAAGATACTGTGTTCTGTGAGAGAAGAACGACACTGGATAATAGAAATATGAAATATCGAGGAATTAACACTAGAACTACCGACGATAAACGCATATTTACTTCGATCGGTGGATAAACGTGAAAAATTTTTGAAAATTTAGAATTTGACTAATTTCTTCACTTTCATATCGTAATAAAAGGTGCAAAAGATCTGAGAAAATGTGTTGTCGTAACATTTTAATCGTCGTTGTAAGAGTATATTGACAAGTCATTTTAACTTGCTTGGTAGTTCTATTGTTAAACACTATTTTAGCATTAAAAATAATAATGAATGGTTTGCGGATTTTATATATTGTTCAAAATTTAGTACATACAATGAAATATTTAATAAAATATAAAGAAATTCTTATTTCACTTGAGACCTGATGGGTCCCATCGATAAATAAATTCTTGTTTCAATTTTGGTTTCTATAAAAGAATCCATAAAAATGTTTGCATTAACATTTATGGTATAGTAAAAACAATTACAGAAAAATTTATTTCACCACCTCGATTGAACGTAATAAAAAGTTTTCTTTTTTAAATTTGTTAACGTCGTAAATTTAGGAAATCTATAGTCTATTAATTACAGTAGAGTCGTGAGTACATGTTTACCATTGAGTTGTTCGCTCTTGGAGACATCGCAGACAACGAAGATGGCACGATCTTTCCCGAACTCATTGTTCAGTTCCGCGGCAGCGCTTTCGCCACCTGAGTCTCCTAAGTCAAACAGAGCTACCGCCTAAAAGACCGACAGAATTTATTAACAAAGGATAAAAATAATTTTCAGATTTTTTAGACACTGATCACTTGAAAGTATTCTATGATTTGAATACTTTCAGACCGAAATAGGGGTTTAAATCTGTCCTTCGTTTCTCTCGATAATTTAATATCAGGTGAAAATTCTGCCAACAGAAAACCCACCCAGAAGTGTTATAAAAGATCGTCATAATGCTAGAAATTAAATTAACCAGTGTAATGAAACGATTCGATAAATAAGGATTCGTAAGAAGAAACGTAGAGTAAAAATTTGATTAATTGAAGATGATTGACGGTTGGGATGAAGATCGAACTTCTCGTGATCTACGACAAACGGAAAAATAATGGAATAGTAAAAATAAGAAGAATATGGAAGTACATAATAGGATGATGGAATAAACAATAATATTGTAACGTGATTATTTAAATTATCTAAGTACTTTGCACTCTCTACATCATATTGCATACTCCCATTGAGATGATAGACTTCAATCGGAAGATAATTACATGATTGTTGTACCTCGATTTCATTGATTAAATACAGATCTTTCTACCTGATTTTTGTTTCCATTATGTTATCGAGTATACTATGTCATAATCGGCTTTACACAACAATGGTAGGTCTACTGGAAAAGTTTAAGGGGAATGTGTCGTTCATACATTAGACAATCGTTCCAAACAAGTAAACGTCGATAACCTGACATTTTTTATTTTTTTAGAACTCAGTGAAATTACGAATTCTTGCTGGAAAAAGTTAGATATTAACGGGCGACAAAATTTGACGCACTTTTTATATTTGCACTAGGGCTATTGATTTGAACCGAGTATCTGAGATATCCAGGTACTTGAGTACCCGTGAGATCACCGGGTAAACAAAAATTACCCGGGTATCTCATGAGATACCCGAACATATGAGATAGTCGAAATGTAGTGAATTTTCGATTTCAATTTCGACCCAAAAAATGAACTTTTTTTTAAGTTTCGCTCGATGCTATCTAAACTATTGGTCCGATTGAAAAAGAATGTAGGAAACAATTATATATTATTTAATTACCTTTAATTTAAGAGTCATCTCGATCAAATCGGTCGACTATAACGCGAGATATGGCCAAAAACGTCGAGTCGTCTTTTAAAAAAATTACCAAAAAAATATTCATCGGGCGATATCTCAAAAACGTATCCGTAGAATTACGTGTTGTGTCGATTTTTGAGTTTAGGGGACCACCTTCCATAAGAATTTCATAGTGGAGCCTGGATCACCAAATGATTGTAAACTTGTGTAATCAATAGCTCTACCCAGGAACGAGCTTAAGGGGTCATGCTGAATCAGAAATTTTCAAAAAATCGATTTTTCACTTTCTACATTTTCTTTAAGTACAACATCTCGAGAATATTCTGTGCAAGTTTCAAGGTAATCCAATTAAAAATAACAAAGTTACAGGCGTTAAAAGATGAACATTTTATATAAGTGTAAGCTTGACTTGAAACTTTAAACGCGTTTTTCTCGAAACTACATTTTTCAAATCGGTGATCAATATTTCTCGAAAACTACTGTGTCGATTTACATGAAGCCTTTTGCGCCTTATTTCAAATCAGAAAAACTTGTCCTTGAGCGAAGGATTCTTTTGTTCGTTCCATACTTTTTTTTTTAATTGACCAAAACCGAGTGATTTTTTAGGTGAAAATCGCACTTTTTCAGGAAAACGTCCGCTATTTTCAATCCTAATCAATATTTCGAAAAACCCCCCGTTCAAGGACAAGATTGGTTCTCCCATTACATAAATTTCACTAAATTTTTAATTCCAAATGAACCGTTACGAAGTTACAGTGATCACGGCAGACCACTTTTTGTGAAGAGACATCCGTGAGATCGCTCACCATTTATTTCCTACTAAATATTTGTAAATAAAAAAATTACCTTACAATCTATAAACTGCAATCTTTAAAACACAAACACATTTTTTGAAAAAGGTCTTATAGTTCCCAAGAAAAAAATTCCCAAAGAACACTCTTTTTTCGGCCTCCTGACTGAGCATGACCCTTTAAAAGTCTTAATTTTTTTCTAAACTTGAGTCTATATTTCTATGTCCATGCTGATACCACCGTATCGAAAGGGTTAATGAAACCCAGAAAAAAGAAGATGAGCATACCTTCGCTCCATTTCGAAGGAGCTTCCGAGCGGTGCAGAAGCCGATCCCGTTCGCTCCGCCGGTAACGATCGCGACTTTACCGTCGATGTTCATGGTTCGTGCGACGGGAACTGAGGTGAACGTCGCCTGGGATCGTAATTCCAGTTCGATCGACAGACACGGGATCTACGGTAATTACCGTGGACGTGCTCGCGGGAGGCTCGATCACGAATATATCCCCTCGAGGAAAGATCGACGCAGCAGCCAGGCACATCGAAGTGAAACACGAGAAATCGAGAATCAATCGTACGGAGATTGAATGTCCTCGGTGGATATCTGATGGACTACGCGACCACGGATCCGCGGGTAAACAGAGGATCGTGTTCGCGAAAAAATTCGGCTCGATGTAGCTGGAAACTCGGCTAGTGAGGACGTTTATTTCTGTCGATTTATCGAATTACCGGACGCGCCTTCGAGATCACGACGAGCTTGCATTTCCAACCGAGCTAATTGAGCATTCAGTAGGGCACAGATCTTGCAATAGAATAGGTAATTTTTTAAGTATGAAACGTTTTGTCGTAAACTGATAACAATTTATTGTTACTCAGAATTCTTGTTTTTATAATGAAAATACATCTTAACAATATAATGCCCAGTGTGACGTGTACGTCGTATCGAAAAAATTAGATTTTCCATTTTTGTGTTAACTAATCGCGAGAAAGAATTTTTTCCCAGGAAGGGGTGTTTGGACGTTGAAGGGTTAAAAATAAATTAGGAAGTGTGTAAAGCAGGAAATGTTTGCTCATAAAGTTTTCTTTACGATATTATTAATCGATGGGTTTTCTTATAAGATGATCGTATAATTTGTTCATTTCTTTTTTTTATCCTTCGCCTCGCAGACTTTGGTCTTTATTCGCGGGCATCGTTTCGATCTATTGATTTGGGAGAGTTCAACGCATGGCGATGCTGTTCTGACGCTGCAAGTCTGCAAATACAAATTTTCTATATACTACGAAATTAGGTATTATTTAGATTATCAAAAAATTAATATTACTTCTATCTCGTAAACTTTGGGATCGATCTTCTCGCCTTCCTTCAAGGGAAAATGAATCAATCGAGGGGTTTCGTGGACACTGATAGCTGGTTCAACCAACCAAACACTTCCATTCTGCGCCCATGCTAGTACATGGCTTAAAGCCGAACCTATCTGGTGTTTCCTTTTTAAATAATTTATTTCTAATTAATTGGTCCCGTAGATGTTGATTATCACTATTCATTTCTACTCACGAGGACGGTACACAGGGTGGCAATTCACAAATTCGATTGTTGGGAATGGGATCCGGGAAATCAGGTAACCCTATCTCGCTAAAGTATTTATTCGACGGACAGAGAGTCACCAAACGTACTCCTGTCTCTTCTATTTTCGATTCTTTCTGTGTTATTAGAGACGTGAACAATTTAATATAAAAGTAACTATTCATCTTTTACAAATATTATGGTTTGGAAATGTTTCAGTGCAAAATTTCAGTATTTGTTTAAAATATTGTAAATTATATTCTATCGACAAAGATTTAGTATTGAAGCGCAATCGTTGAACAGCAAACTCTAGCTACCGTGCATATTTTATATTAATTTAGAAATTGCAAATGTTGAACATTGGATCAACTGTTATTTAATTCAAAATACCACGAAATCCATGGTGACTTCTATTGCAGGTTCGTTTTTACAGTAAATAGGGTATGGCTCTTGGGGCCAGCCCATGAACCCAAAAATACTTGCACAATTAACTATTATTCCGCCGGGACCACCATCCTTCTTTCCTAAAGTTTTCATTTCTGTTCGAATCACTTTGGCTGTGTTATTCTGCAAAATGTTATATTAAACATTATTACAAACTTCTAGCCTCAATTTCCTAAAATTAAATGCATTCATATTCATGTTTGTCAAAGTTTTATTTCGTGTTAGTATACTTTCTTCAAGCTCCTGTTACTACTTATACACCAAATTTTTTTGTTTAATAAATACATCTCAATGTTTCGTATTAAACTATTCGCTAATTATTACATTGTCAATATTATACATATAGGTGAATTATGTACCTCCTTCTTTCCCATGCTGTTGCATACCAAAGGCCACTCTTTATCAAGATTATTGAAAACGATGCTTATATCACTGTACTTGCACTTAATTTGGTTCAAAGCAGCTGCAAAAATGATTAATCATTACAAACAAAAATTTAATTATTTATTTAATCTTGCAAGACTCCTCGGCTCTATACGATCCGAAATGAAGATTATAGTTCAATAAGTATTATGATTTTAAACATTTGCTTTTAGTATTTCCCATTTCTTAAGGACAAATCATTTCAAACTTTGCAATAATTTTATCCGAAGAGATATAGAAGTGAAGAATAAGTGAGAAGAACAGCAGGATTAAAGTTAAAGTTTAACAATGTTTGTTACTGAGACTAAATGAACAAATAAGATCGTGTGTTTTTTTTTTTTCTAAATATACTCACCTTCGAATTGACAGTGATTGTGTATGTGACAGTGGACATATTGCACGCGGTTTTTTCCGTGGGAATCACAGAGCCTTTGTGCCGCCATTTTGCCACTCGTGAGGTCATCGTCCGCTATCACGACATTCTATATTATTTCAATGAGTTTATTATACCTTACAAGTTCTTTCTATTCATTGATTTTAAGAAAAATATTTATCAAATTTTATGTAAATACAGAGGAATACTGACTCTTGCACCTCTGCACAAAAGATGATCCGCTGCCGCAAAGCCAAACCCATCGGAACCGCCCACCACAAGTGCGATTTTGCATTTAGGATCGATAATTGGTTTCGGTGAATCAGCGCTACTATTTTATTGTGAAAAAAGAAATTGTATGATCTTATGATGAAGCAGTAAACTGATAACAGTAAAACGTTAGTTCTCAATTAAATCGCTTATTTCAGAAACCCCATAACTGACAAAAAATTGACTGACTATAAATTGAGTTTATACTGGTTTCTTGTAGTTGATTGATTGACGCTTCGTTTGGTGCAGAAATCCACTAAAATAACGCTCTGTATACCTCCATTTCGCGTCCTTGAAGTATTCGTTTAGTGCAGAAACCCCATAAGCGATATCACTTAGGGGATTTCCGTGCTAAAAACTTACAACAGGTGGTAGCACTGTCATTGGTAGGTTTTATCATATATAAAAATGTTATTTATCATATATAAAGTGGAAAGAAGAAAAGATTTTGATTACTCAGAATAGTGAATGCATCATATTATGCTTATTTTATTTTTACAAAATATCTTAATGTTATTAGAAAGTCAGCTTTGTTGATTTTTACCCCTAATTGAACCCATTAATATCATAAAAATGATAAAACAGCTTTGTAAATTTATTTTATTGCAGAAACCCCATAACTGCAGAGGGTTACATTTTTGTTTTACCCCCTCCCCTGAGTCTTAATGAATAATTACGTTTCCATTTTACGTATAGAACCTCCCTTTACATTCAGGAATTTTTTCGTAAAAAAATATCTGCTTTTAGCCGATTTAGAAGTTTTTCTTAAACATCTGAATATTTATGATTCTGCACTTACGGGGTTTCTGAAATAAGCGATTCAATTATAATTCGATTTCGTTTGAAATTCTTCTTAGAAACAAATATAATGGGGTTATAAAGCTTCAAGAATGTACAGTTATTTTTAATTGCCCTGTATATATTTATCGAAACAAAATTTACCAAACATCTGGCTTCACTATTTTCAGTTTATCCGACTTTTTCGAAAACCAACCCCCGCTCTTCTTTTTCTTTTGGCGCCCCGTTGTCGTTCCATGAAACTGACGTAACCCGATTTTCCGCAGACTTTTCCAGGGGGAAAAATGGATCAGAACTCACGAGAAGCGTACGGAAATTAGAATAGGTTCGTGGTAGTATTTGGCCGTGGCTGTTGCGAGAGAAAGTGTCATGTTCGAGTGGCTTACCTTGGTCTTCTAACGAGAAGGTTGGAGACGAACGAGGTTACGTATCGCGTTAACATGTTGGAAATTATTTTTCAATAATCGTGTAATGTTGATCATGGATCGAATGACACGTCCTGGAACGAACGGAGCGTGTCGGGGGAAACGCAACGTGAGACAAGAATTTTGACATTTCAGCCGAAAATCGAATAATTAAACTTGCGAGTTGTCGCTCTGAAATCACGTGCTGACTTTTGTTTTCGAATCAAATGACCTGCAAATAATATAATTGCTGATTTTATGCGTTTATAGCAGAGACTAATGATCAGAATCTTATTTGTTGTTTCTGTATTATACATGTTTATCTACTCTTTTCGTTTTTGTTATACCTTTTTTTTCTTCGTTCTTCCTTCACCTTATTGTACATATTTTATTGTATTATAATTTGCGACTGCAACAGAATTGTACCAGTGCTTTCATTAAAACTGCAATTAATCACGTTGACAGAATTGTAGATATATCAGGAATTAAAAGTGACCCTAGTTCTTTTCTTTCATAGGGTAAATGTACCAATGAATGAACATTTCTGAACTTTTGTAACTATTATAGTTGAATTTTAAATGATAATATTAATAAATATCCGAAAATTTTGATGCTTTTCACATCAAGTTTATAACATATAGTTTATAATAATAAGGAACTCTTATTGTTAGCTGATAAAAACATTTCAAATCTGTCTGTGACAAAACAAATTAATGCGTGCATATATAGTTAGATACGCCTGATCCAACAAAGGTCGACCACCTTCCGCAATACCACATTCCAATTCTCTAAAGTCTAAAAAGAATCGTGCAGAAGTCGAAAATTTACAGTGTCTCGTCAGCTGTCGAGGTGGTTGGATGTGTTCCTCACACCTCTTTCCTGTCTTGTTACTAATCCCATGTATGTTACAGATGTTCGAATAGTTATCTTCTTATTTACTGTGCATATTGTTGACATATTTACTGTCTATTTACTTGTTCAATGTAATTTGCGCATGCACCGGGGGTTCTATGACCCTACGTTCTCACCACACGGGGTCCCTGGCGCCTCCACCGGGGGTTCTATGACCCCACGCGCTCACCAAACGGGGTCCTTGGTGCCTCCACCGGGGTTCTGTGACCCCATGTTATCATCAAACGGAATCTCTGGCGCCTACACCCGGGGTTCTACGACCCCACGATTTCACCACACGAGGTCCCTGGCGCCTCCTGCGGGGGTTCTATGATTCTACTTCCTCACACACACGGGGTCTCATGTTTTCTCTGTATTTATATAAATATCATTACAAGTATATTGTAGAATCATATTGATAAGTAGGATTTAAGTAAAATAAGTATCTAAGGGCACTTTTATTGAATCTATACAAATATTATTATAAATGTATTGTAAAATCGTATATGTAAGTAGTACTTAAGGCAATTGTTGTCAAATTTATAGAAATACTATTGTAAATTGTATATTTTCGTACGATTTTTTCAATAAAAAACAGTTAAATCATACATATGCATTATTCATTAATCCCCGCACTATCTCCACTCCTATTCCTAAGGTTTCTTTAAGTTTTGGAAGAAGTTCTGGAATTAGTTCCACTTTTCGCCACCAATTGATGGGGGCGCCACAAATGTACAAGTTTTTCCGCCATCTTGGATTTTGAAAAAGCGCGGGAAAAAATGGGATTCATTGGACATACTAGTGGCGCCCCCCAAAAAGTGGGTGGCGAAAGTTGGAACTAAATCCAGAACTTTTTCGATGGTTCGCACAGCCGCCACCAGATGGCGCTGCTTAAAAAGTTTTAGAATTAGTTCCAACTTTCGCCACCCACTTTTTTGGGGGCGCCACTAGTATGTCCCATGAATCCCAATTTTTCCTGCGCTTTTTCAAAATCCAAGATGGCGGAAAAACCTGCAGTACGGTGGCGCCCTCACAAACAGTGGTATACGATAGACGTGTGTAATAATTTGCAGTAGTCCTTTGCCGGATTCGATCTGTTGTTATTACATGTGGATTACGGGACAATGAACGGTACTGAAATGGCTTGCGTCAGTAACCATTTGAAACGTGATCCTTTATCGCTGTTGCTCGTACAACTCGCGAGCTCGGTCGAATGTTGCTCGT